TACAGATGCATAAACAAACAAAACGTCCCCCAATGTCTGAAAAATTACATTAAACTCCTATTATATTGAAACGGGTGACGTGTGAATAATTACAGTACTGTATAGGTCACCGAGAGATTGGCATATTGTGTAAAGTAAAGCCAATTGGTTCATGCTATTGTCCAGCTTATAGGCAAGCAAGGTGCGACTTAATACAAGTTAATAAACATAATAGGGCATTACTTAGTTTCGTGTTCCTAACTAGCAGACGCCACAGTTTAAGATTAATGACAAGTCCAGAAAACTTCAGGTAATTTTTTTTGCAGCGAGTTGTGAATGGTAGGAACAATCTATCGTGACGGCACCAAGTGTGAGCTCTTTTGTGACTACAGCACAGTACTTGCCAACATTGGGTAGTAGAGCCAGTACATGCCCACAGTGCAACAGCCAATACATGCCCAGGACTTGCCAACAGTGTAACAGACAGTACATGTGCAGTACTTGCCAACAAGAGCCAGTACATACTCCGTATATTTGCCAATAATATCTAGATGCGTTCGACCGCCTCTTACCCCAGCGGCAAAGTTTAAAGTGAAGCAGACTTGACATTTTGCTATAGAACAAACTTTCTAACCTCAATAAGTACGGTGGTGCTGCACTACCCACGCTGACGACCACTGATGCAGCAAACTGGTCTTTAACACAACAGTAACAGCCAATTGGATCCATCATCTGTAAGTAAATGAAAAAAGCTTACGAGTAACATACTTTTAATACTTGTGTAAAATAATTCCTGTAACTTGAGACCCAAAATTCAAGTATGATCGATACTTAAATAAAACTTTACTTAAATATTAACAGTCTTCACGGTGACCATAACTAAACCATATTTCATTAATTTAAATAAAAGAATAAGCCAAAAATAGTGAAGTATTCTCTATTGTAACTAGTCAATGTAATTGTTAACGACCATTAACTTCTGCTTGTTCATTAACTCGAGCCTTGTGTATTTTCAAGTCTTTTAAAGGTACGTTTAAATTATTTCCATTTAAAATATATCACTTGGTACAAAAAACAAATAATAAATACATCTGTGTTAATACATCGACCTTTACCACCGAAATAAATTAAAAATAAAACTTACCATATATTTCAAGAACACCGGCCTTCTGGTCAAAGAGACGACCGGCAGCACCTACCCCCACAAAGTCTCCTCGTGAACTGCTCTTCTCTGGCCAATTGCCGCTCTGTATAGCCCCTCTTTCCTGAGTTGCCAACTCGGATTTTCAAATGTAGGCTCTTTCCGCCGAGGGCTGCCAACATTACTGATTTATTAACAATAATATAATACTAATTACTAACAATAATACAATACTAATTACTAACAATAATACAATACTAATTACTAACAATAATATAATATTTTTGAAATTAATTAAACTTTTAACTCAGGAAACCTTACGTGCAAAAATACAGACCAACAACCTCACCAACTACAATAATGGTAGTTACCGTACCTTACTGGGTGGTTACCGCTGATTTGAAATAGATAGATAGATAGATAGATAGATAGACAGATAGATAGATAGATAGATAGGCCGGTCAGTGGCGAAGAGGATAAAGAAAAATAATTTCTGTATTACACAATAATTAAAAAAGTAAAAAAGCTACCCATAAAAAATGTTTTCTCTTTTTACGCTATAAAAGAAAAAGAGTTTAAATAAAAATTTACAAGAATGAAATTACCCCTGCTGTTGGTTTGTCTCCTTCTCCCTGGCTGGATTTTCAACCTGAAGTGATTGCCCTCGGTGGACCGCTTCCGAAATCCCACGTGAACTCTGTTATTCTACGGAAATACCACCTCTCCAGGATCGCCCACTGGTCCCTAGGTAGGGTTGTCCTCTACACTGATGGCTCTGTTGACCCCGCGGTCAGGCCGGGGCTGGTGTCTACATCTCCCGTCCTGATGCCCCTGAGCCTCCTCCACTCCTGCTGAACCAATAGCCCTCCTTGCTGCCCTTCTCGCTGAGGAAGAAGCAGATGGTTTCTGCCCTTTGCTTGTCTGCTGTGATTCCAGGTCTGCTCTCGACGGGATCGCATTTGGATCAGGGGAAAATAAGGACCTCATCCTCCGAATACGAGGGTTAACATCCACACTTCAGGATGCAGGCCGTCCTGTGACATTCCTATGGATACCCAGTCATGTCGGTATCTTGGGGAATGAGGCAGCAGATGGCCTTGCCAAGATTGGCTGCAACAAGGCCACACCTGACTACGTTGTTCCTCAAACACTTTTACATCTTAGGACCCAAATTAGCCGCAAACAGATAGAAGCTCGGGAAGCAGCCATCCCCCTGGACTCCCCGCCCACCTGGTACGATGTCCTCTGTAAACTTCCTGACCTCTTGTATGTCTATGGGAAAGGGTCGAGGAAAAGGGACGTGATTGCTGCCCGCATCATCATTGGGTATGACTTTGCTTGGGAGATTGGTATCCCCGCATCCCCTGAGCAACGCTCTTGTGCATTATGCAGAAGACCCGACAGCCGAACTCTTATCCACTACCTCCTAAGATGTCCCCACACACAACGCTTCCGTGACGCCTGCTGGACTACCACTCCACGACCCCCTGACGGAGACACAATGATCCTCCCCATACTGGCCAGATATTATATAAATAACATTGATAATGTGTTAAAGGAATATCCTTCCTTCCTCAGGCTTTAGTAAGCCCCTTTATAATATATATTTATACTGTATATACTTGTGACACTTGCCAGATGTTTCTGGTGTTATTGTACAGGGGTACCTAGTGACAGCACTAGGATCCCGCTTCCTCTATCAAGGAATAAACAATTGAAATTGAATTCAATGAAATTTAATGACTGCTTACAGACCCAAAATTAAATTTTGAGTATCAGAAATTTATGGCACTGGAAGCAGTCTGTAACAGTACCGTATGTCTGCTACTCTACGTAACTGATGAGACATTTTGAGTATTCGGCCCCAGTACAGTACAATAGATACTTAGTGATGAGATACTGAATGAGAGGTTGACAGATGTAGGATACTATGAGTGAAGGCCTATGATACGATAGAAAAAACATTAAGAAGACATGTTTGCGAGATCTCCAAACTGAAAGGATTTTTTTTTTTTTTTTAAATATACTGAATACTGTACTGTAGTAGGACTGGACAGGGCAAAAATAATAAATTTACTCACACAAAATACAGTGTTTTTTAGCAACTTTATTAAGCTTATAAAATATAATTCATGTATGTACACCATAAAAAATCCAGTTGTGTCTTATTACAGTTTTCAACATAATGCACAACAAAAGTATTTAAAAAACTATACAAAGTATCAGTAACACAGGCAAGCTGTTCTCTCAGGACAAGTGTCATTCAGGAAGCACACTTCCAACCATTATTCACATACACACAAATCAATGAGGATGGATAAATAAATTCTGTGGCATTTTCAGATTATCAACCATACCAACATGTCACATAAACATCAACCTTGCACTGGATGCATAAATCTTTACAAGGGTAACAAACAAAATGTCAGATCTACTCATAAGAAATATTAGTGATGAGAAGAAATATTATTTCAATAATGATTTCAAAGTAAAAAACACCGTGAAGTATTAATATTATTGTAGTCTCTAACAGGCTAAAGAATGATATACAGGTATTACCTCATAATTATCCTATCTAGCAAATAATAAACACTAAAACCTCCAAATACTCAACTAATTCATACAAAAGCCAGGCATGGGGCTATTAACTTTCAATTTTAACTGTTTAAGCCAAGTTGATTTTCTTTTATTTTTTTCAATTAAGTTATCTTGATTTTTAAACAATTACTAATTAATATTTTTTTCAATAAAGTAAACTAGTCTGTGACCAATTTGCTTAGATGAATTTTTGGGTGGATTAAATAAGATTATAACCTGCAAATGTACTGTATTCCAAAAAAATAGCCAATGAATAGTTTGAATACCTGAATTTCAGGCAGTTTGGCACACTACTTCTTTGTTAATTTTGTTATGAGTAAGTCTGTAGAGCAAGTACCGGGGTAATTGTAAATTATTTATGTTGTTTTTTTTTCATTACAGGCAGTCCCTGACTTACGCACACCCACCGATACGAACGAGGTTAAACTTTAAATTTACAGTACAAGTATTTTATTTACCTGATGATTTATTTTTATTCTTTCATTTGCTGTATTTTGTCATTCTATTTTTTTCTTTCCTCTTAAATTTAGTGATTTCAGATGTATATAACGACTTAGGCTATGATATAGTGGGATTTTAAACATTGTTCTTTAAGTACGGTAAGGACATAGCATGTATTTCGACTTACAGTACGTACATTTTCAACTTAAGAACGTCCACAGGAACAGAACCCGTTCATAACCCGGGGCACCCTGTACATGTAAAGCATGTTACTATTACAGTATGCAAAAGGAAATCATATTTTACTTGAAATTTTTTTTAAATAATTAGAATTCTGCATATCAAATAAACACAACAAGTGCGAAGGTGTGCAGTACAGTACTGTGCTGTACAGTATGGATGCTCATTCACCGGGCACAAGGGTTGGTGCATTTTAGATAAAATTTTGATAAAGTTAAGTTAACTGATAGAAGTTAATGATAAAGTTAATTAATTTATCCTTGTCTGACAGAAGTTCATCTTTGGGAATGCTTCTACTACACACAATATTTTCAAGTTACGACCACCAGGACATACGACTTCCCCAGTCATACCAATTTTTTTTTCAAATTACGTATTTTCGAGTCCCGACGTTAGTGATTGCGCTGTGTACTGACAAAATTTTTGTTTGTAATTCCCTTTAAAATGGCTAGCAAGCTTAAAAATGACATTTTTGTGGTGCTGAGAAGAAAAAGACACACCTTTTTAGATTTTCTATGTATTATTTTCGCATTTTCGATTTACGACCTGGATTTGGCCACGATGTTGGTCAATGACCTGTGCCCGGGTGGGCTATTCCCCGAAAAAAAAAAATTACATTTCTTAAAAGAAAACAAATGATTTGGGGTGAAAAATATCAATCCCCTGACATTAAATTCTATCACTTTTACATTCAATAACACAGAGAAATGTTAAATCACTAGAACATTCTTGTGCTTAAGGATTCAGTGATGGCATCACCAAATTAAAACAAATTAAAATGTATCAGGATCAACTTTTAAATGACTGTATGTCTTCTCCTTATGATAATTTCATCATAATCAGTAATGTACCATCAAAAGAACATACAAAATAAAAAGTACCGTAATGTAGAGTACAGGTATATCAACACAACTGGAAGTGATTCAAATTAACTTTTGTACACAAATGAAATTTACATGTCACTAAACATAACAATCCTTATATTATAAATAAATGCCCCTGCATATATTTCCACATCTGTCAACACTCCTCTTTATGCAGTTTTCTCAAGTAATGTACAGTATATATTTGATATGACTATGTCCGAAGTCAATTTTCAATCTTGTACAATATAAGTGAAGCCTTTAATTTAAATACAGTAGACCCTTCCCATTTGCGGGTTTGCGATTCGCGATAAGCAGATGGTGGCTATGGTGGCTAGCCTGCAAGCTTTTTCTCACTGCACAACAAGTCACCACACACAGCATCTCGTGTTGTACTCTCAAAACTTTACCGCAGATGGTGGCTAGCTTGCAAACTTTTTCCCACAGCACAATGAGTCACCACACACAGCATCTCGTGTTGTACTCTCAAAATTTAGTGTTTTTGTGTGAAATGGCCCCTAAAAGAATGCCTAGTGTCAGTGCTAGTGATGCTAGTGGAGTGAAATGTAAAAGGCAGAAGTCAGTGAAGATCCTGACAAAGAAAATTGAATTATTAGACAAGTTAAAGGAGGGGATGAGTGGTGCTGCAGCTGGTCGGTTGTTTGATACAGGTATACAGTAGTGCACTAATGTAGTACAAGTTGCTATTTGCGGTTTTGCCTATTTGCGCCATTCCTTGGAACCTAATCCTCGCAAATAACAAGGGCTTACTGAATTCATCTTTTCATACCTATCCGAGCCTGAACCTTACAGCCTATCTAACACTACAGAAGCAATAACATGTTTTAAGGTGAATAAAGTACAGTACAGACTTCTTTACTGTGCCTTATACTGTATAAGGTGTGAGCCAAGTCAATGGTGAGAGGTAACATGCACCACCCACCTATTGACAGTATGTTTAGTTAGTGTTACTGAGTTGTCCTTAATCAATAGAGTAACAGCACCAACTTCATCCTATTTTTTTTTAAAAGTATTAAGAGAACTCATAACATATTAGATGAGCTTTCTTCTACACACCCAGAATGAACACTAAATATGAGTGCACTACATTATATGATTCACTAATTTTAAGGTTCAGTAAAAAAATAAAAAAATAATGATGAGAGAGCATAGAAAAAGTTATCCAAGTTCTGACAAAAAGAGTTAATAAAGTGCAAAACTTCAACACAAACAGTGCAGGTTCAGTCTAACAGCACAACACTACAATATCAGTTTAAGTATGAACATGAATAAAAAATACTCACCCCAAAATCATGAACTCTTTAAAGGTCCTGAATACAAAGAACCAGTTACCAAAGTCTCTAAAGGGTATTATGTATTGTCAAATAATCATATGAACATAAACACTGTACTTATATATAAATCATCTACCCCAATTATTAAAGGAAGTACTTTTTCCTTTGATATCTTATCAGCCTCCCATGTGAAGACTATACAGTAACTAAAGAGATTCCAGCTTATGGTTTCAACCTCCCCAAGTTACACAATTTCATTCAATTTATCGGTAAAAATTAGTTTTTACCTCAATTTCCCCAATTGGTACCCTGTATGTGATATTATTTTTCTAGTGTACTGTATTTTGGTGTTTTTTAATTTGCCTGACCTGACCTGACTTAACCAAACCTAAAAAGTATCCTAGCGAAAATGGTAAAAAATCTGAAATACTGTACCTATTGGAATAAAAACGAATATTAACCGATTTATCTTCAAAATTATCTTCTAAAGGTTATTATGGTCTATTAAATGTTCTTTAGCATTAAAACAATCTTAAAAATACTATTTCTCATATATCTCTCTTTTTTTCAATACTGTACAGTACAGTAGAGTACAGTACAGTACAGTACAGTATTGCACTGTGCAGTACTTTTCATGCTCACTCTTCAGTATGTATGGGAGCCTCAACCCTTTGTATTATTACATAATTGGTAATACAACCAGAAAGTAGGGTCTTCGGCAATATACAGGATCACCCTGGATAATGAACATTTGGGCCACAACACTACAATGTTACAAATAAGCCTCCAAGAACCCAACTTGCTATGTACAAACGCTTCCTCGGATTTACGAACAATACTTTATTTCCTTGATTGGAAGTGAAATCTTAGCAAAACTAGGCCTGTGTGGAGGGGATTTGGAAGCTAACAACCCCTGTAGTAACATTATTTCTACGTGAAATTAGCTTTCAGGAACCAAACAACCGCCTGTTCCCAACGCAAAATTAACAAAATCTTAAGTGAACTGTGAGGTGAAATTTTGTCTTTTCACTCTACTTGAAGTGTGCATGTGTGTGAAACAATATACTGTAGCTGTACTATAATAGTTTCTTAACTTTTACAAGGCCTTTCCTACAGATCTTGCAGGATGACCAAAATAAAGAGCAACATAGAAGCACCTCTCATATTTTATACAAAAATTCATTCTCACAGACCCACATACTGTACAATTTCTCAGTGACTACAGCACATCCTGCTTAGTCTGCAGATTTGTAATTTGTGAAATAATGATTCACAGCCCATTGAACTGTGGAACAAGATTTGAAATTTTTTTTATGACACTGTACACTGAAAAATATTTAAAATACATTGCAAAGTTTCTTATGGAGAAATTATAATATCAACTGGCAGTAACCAATTCAAGCTTCATAATGATTTAAAAAGTGATTATACCCTGAAAGTTAGCTGAATAGTACATAATTCACAACCATAAACTGAATCCAGCACACATTGTTATAGATACAAGTATCTACACTTCTTCTTATACATAGTCATGACTAAGAAATATAATGTGGTATGATGCTGAAATAAAGATTAATAATGCAATAGTGAATAATTACTTCACTTACAGCATCTGATGAAAACTATTCTATTTTCTTGAACTTTCTCACCAATTTTTCCTATACTGCACTTGAAAAACCCAGACAATAATAAATAAAAGGTATACAGTATAGTCCTCGCTTAACATTGGCCTGCTTAACGTTGTTTCGGTACTATGTCGCTAAACTTTAGAGACCCAAAATTCGTTTAACATCCCGGTGACTCGGTCGTTTACGTCGTTAAGAACTACTTTTTACGGCACATCACCCTCTCCCTTAGGACAAATATTTCATTTACCTTTTTCATAATATGTATTTAGGATGGTGTGTGCAAGTAAATGAGTAAATGAAGAAAGTTACTATATCTACTGAAAAATAAGTTGAAAAAACATGTACAGTACTTAAGGAACTAAATTTTTTTATCTCTTGTGCAAAATATATGATGTCTGGATTCATATTATTTTCTGTCATGTAGAGGAGTTTTAAAATTTTCTCTTATAAAATCTCAATGATTGTGACTATAGTAATACATACAAACACCTCACCAGGCATCACACAAGGAGCTTTGAATTTATGTATATGTAATGTATTTCATAGGGCAAAGGGAGGCTCAGGAACGTAACTCCCGTATTTTATCTATTTCTTATGGAGAAAATTGATCCGCTTAATGTTGTTTCGTATAACGTCGCGTTTTCAGGAACGTAACCCCGACGTTAAGCGAGAACTTACTGTATATCAATTAAATTTAATGCTTTTGATTGGTTTGTTGGAGGGAGCTAAATACAACACTACACACCAGTAAATTAGCTCAAAACCCCAACCCTTGTTGATTTAGCACACAGAGATTGTCAGAACCTAATGTATTGATTGTAGTTTCAGTTCCACTTAAGATATTTCCATTTTCTATTACCTATCATCCAATACTTGAGTTTTATTTACTTTGTTTGAAAACAGCAATGATTTTGTGGTGAAGAACTGTGTCATTCACATAAAGGTAAACCTGACATGGCAGACCAGGGGTGAGCAGAAGTGGTGCCATAGTTCTGTCATAACACCCATACATTCATACTCAAGTTATTGAAGGGTTTTCATAATTTTGGAGGCAAGTTTATTCTTAAATTATATATTTTTCAGGTTTAATTTATTTATTATATGAAAATAGAACCTTATTTGGGGATTTATCTCAACTTTAGAGAAATATTTGGGGATCCTGACCATTACACCAATTTAATTTTGAGCAAAACAAGAATGAAACCTTGCAGAATAGGTGGAATTTACTGTATACTGTATATATGCATGTGTCAGCACAATGTGTATGACTTCCAGCTTCCATTGCACATTAAAGATAGTCATCATGATAGAGAAATGAATATATAATAATTGAGATGAACAATATAAGTAACCTTCTATCCATAAGCAATGTAATACCCACATTATAGGAATAAGAACCAAAACCAATATAAAAATACTCCTTAAGTAAAAGCCTCTTTCATAACTAACAACAGGTGCTCTCTAAAAACAATATTGTTGTTCACCTGTAATGTAGTCACGAACAAAAGTCATGTCACCTCTTCTGCTGCTCCACAAATCCCGGGATTCAGATTCGTGAACCCGAAGCAATAGACACTGATGCATTATTCTGTCCATAAATGCTTAAATGCACAAGTCAGAATCTCGGGGTTTGTGGAGCAGCAGAAAAGGCGACAAGACTTTTGTTCGTGACTGTACATTGGTGTTGTCCCCTGTATCTTTAATAATGTTTACTGAAATACGAATGGTGAAAGGTAAACAACTATTACAGTAACATCAACAACAAGAGACAACTATGAGACCTGTGCCATGGCATAAGCTCTTCTATAACTCATCCATGAGAGTTTCATTTTACTGTATACAGTACAATGACTTTATCTACATGATGAGATTTTTCACTACAATTCATTAATTTTTACAATGAATAATAAAATCAGTTCTTCTTTATGCACTTATGAAGAAGTCTTGCATGAAATATGACATCACGATAAGGAACCACTCAAGCCAAATAAATGTAAAAAAAATTCCCTCTTTGGTAAAAACAAAATATGTACACTAAATAAAAACAATTTAAATTTCATAATGTAAAGTACTGTACAGTACAATACTTTCAACAGTTTACTTTGGTTTATCACATTACTTTCCCAATACCAGAAAGCAGCTATACTAAAATTATTGCCAATCAACAGACAGTTCTCAAGATATATTATTTGTTTATTTTATTTCTAGGAAATCAAGGTTGGAGTATTAGCCGGTCTATCAACTTGTGTCTTATTACCTATATAAGAGTAAGGATGTTAAGAGAAAAGAATGAGTTCAAGAAGACTTCATACTTCCTACTCATAGTCTGCATTCCTTGAACATACTGTACTCACGCTCCACTCCTGTTATCTGAACAAACTTTAAATCATTGTCGTGTTACTTTTTTATAACCCTTACTCTATATGCAACTGTACTGTTTCATTCCTCTGGCTATCATCCTATTTGTCACATTTCAACAGATTAAGTTCATGTAACATAGACAAACAACTACTACATCAGCCGCATAATGGAAAAGCAAAATGCTAAAAACATCATGAAAGTAGTAAGCATTTTACTAGAGACCCTCACTAAGGAATGTGTAAAGATTCTCTAAACTCTATTTTAAATGCAGATTTTTTTTTTTTTTTTTACGGGGGACAACTTAAAGCCAGAGAGAGGTGAATAAGAAATAAATAAACTTCACAAATGAAATTTCTTTGTGAAATATCAAATTTTCAATGCATCCATGTTGTATACACACAAATAAATAATGTCTACCTTTTTTAATATGTTCTTGCAACTACTGTACAATTATCATCTACACTTACTATCAAGCAGAACAACTGGCTGGAGATAATTTATTCCAACTGTTTTTCAGAGTTTCTTAGCTCCTAGTTTCATAGGGCCAGCACGAGCTGCTCGTTTTGCCTCAATGTCTTTCTGCCTTTGTAGCTTTTTTTCTTCCCGTTGTCTACGCTGCTCATCTGCTTTGCTACTACTAATGGTAACCTCTGAAACACAAGAAATAAAAGATGATTACACATAATATTTTACATAGTTTCCTAAAATATAAGTGGAGTCACATTAATCTCTTATTGGTTTGTACCCTAATGCCATGCCACACACAGAGCCATACAGTTAACAGGAGTGTGGATGCAAACACAAGCATACACAGGGATGTGGAAACAAATTTAATCCACCAATGATGCTGCCACCTAAAGTAAAGGAGTACAGTAATTACTTTTTACTCTATAAACATCTGTAAAAATTTACTCATACTGTATTATGAATTATTTGTTGGTATGGTTTTAAGATTTTAAAACACATATTGATGATCAATTATATGATGTGAGCTGCACACACAATGCATGTTGACATCTCATACGTGGGTGAGCAGTGCACTTTCCAACTTTTCCATGTATAATGTGTCATGGGAAAACATCTTGTGGGCCATTTTACACATGCAACCTGTTATATGTACACATTTGGTGTATTCATACTTAATTTCTTCTTGCTGCCATGTATAATTCTTCAAATTCTTCATCCAGTAAAGAATTCATAAAAAAAAAGCCCAAGAAACTGATAATATGAAGGACCCAGTTGGAGATATTGAAAAGTCTTGAAAATGGTGCCCCTGACAACACAACACACGAACTCAATCTGTGACTCCAGCTTGCAGCAGTACCCCTACTAACCCACCTGAGCCACTATCTCCTCTACTCAACTTGATCCTGTCACTACCTGATGACCCTACACCACAGGAGAAAAGAGCAAGCTAACTACTCCAGGCCATACATGCACAGTTGGATTGTAAATGGGTAAGTCATCCAGATTTTACATGCATTCTGGCCACATTTAGTTTAAACTTGGCTTATCAAAGAGCATCTAAACAGGTAGAATCACTGAGTTCCTTGAGGTTTGGTAAGTATATGTATACATGAGGTTTTACTATTCATTGTATCCTCATATAGTTTACGACCCATTTAATGTAGTTTAACTAAGCAATTAGTTTAATACATTTGAAATAAAATTGTTTTGGGCAATTTGGCAGGATTATTATATCAAAAGAACTTACCTGAAGATTGCTGGTCATCCCACTCATCCCAGCCCCCAACTGAACTCTTGCTGGGAGACACTACTTGTGAGGAGGTGCGGCTTACTGCTTTTGATGTACCCTAAGGAAAGAATTATACATCTTAGCGTGCATTTTCTTTGGTAATATCATTAAAGTCACATTAGGGCATTTACTGGAGGGTAAAACTGATAAAATGTAAGTTTATCACATTGACGAATGAGAATATTATCAAAAGTAAAACTGCACTATAATGACATAACTGACTGACTCTATTTTAACACAATCCATTAGGCAACATCATTTTTGTGCACCTGGTCAATATTTTGTTGATCTTAATGGGAGCCAGCCAAGTGCAATACTGTATAGAATATTCATAGTATTCATAGTCATTCTGACAATGCAAAAAATCAGGTAAACATTTTCTCTTTACATGCAACATCACTCTCTCTGTTATATACTGTATTTAGATGTGTTTATAACTGTACTTAGTTTTACAGTATTCTACATTAAGAAGTTCCTCTAGTTTTATTTTGACAATGTTACTTCTACTATGCTTCGAAGGCCACTGCTTATTGGTTAAGTTATGCTTTACTCGTGTTCTGATAATAAATAGTATCCTAAATATAATGGCAAATTTTACCATATGCATGAAGGCACACACAGCAGGACCTCAGTTACCCAAAAATTTAAAAACTAAAAACATCCAATATCAGAAACAAATAAGGAATTATTATCTTTCACGAATCATCCAATAATTCATCCACCATTCAAAAGCACTGCAACTTCAGAAGCAGCTGATCAATACAGCAGCACTGTACTGTAGTTGGCAGTAGTCCATGCTTACCATTGTTTACATCTTACTCTGCATCCTCATAATTTCTTTAATATTTTATAGTAATGATTCATCCTGAGTGTTCTTATACACCTACTGTGGATGCCAATAATAGTCTCCAGAACAAATTACAGTACATCATATACTGTACACTAAACTCAGGTTTTTACATCCCATTACCTCAATTCTGGCCAATGTAGATGACTTTGTGCATGTGTGCACATGCATGCATTAGTGTATATAATATTTTTAACAGCAGTAGTGATTTTAGGTAATTAGTCATGGACAATCAAATGAAGGTAAGAGAGGTCTCCACATTTTCATTCAATGTCATGTTTTAATGGCATAAGGTTGCCAAACAGTTGCCTGCAAGACGTATGGAGGGATAAGTGTTAAACAAACACATCTTTCAATTTTTAGCTTTACCTATCCTATTATACTGTTGCATTACTTTAAAATGAGCTTAAGCAATATACTATACAGTATATGCAATGTAAAACACAAGTCTCTTTTCTAAGACTATCATGAAATATAAAGTTGATATAATCTTCAAAATCTGTCAATAACTGCACATTAATATACTGCACTGTACTGTATTTGGATAAACTACCAAGTACTGACCTGATTACTAATAACAGAATTGAAAAAATCATCACTGTCTTCTGGAGCTGTGGATCCCAAGCTGCCAGACCATGGTGGTTTACTACTTGTGTTAGCTGCAAGTTCAAGTTTGTTGTCTTCAACACCCCCACCAAGCTGAGACACACAGGAAAAACACCCATCGCACATTACCACACAATATTTGTGACACTGTACAAACATATCATTATAGCTATGTGGATAAAAAAAAATTTATCACAAATAAGAAAGTTAAAACATAATTCATGAAAGGATCAACTTAAACTGTTCAAAAGGAATCCCACTAGTACATCATCACCCTCAAAAATTTCTTGATTTCAATCAAACTGGCTTAAATACTAAACACATCTGAGGATTTATAAAGGAAGCTACGAGGGAAAATTACATAAATCATACCCTTATGAAGAAAAAATAGTTATCTTTGTAAACTCAGCTTAAGTGCCAAAATAACAACTGATGGGTCAACTGTTACTTTAAACCAAAGGTTCCTCTGATCAGTTCTCATAAATATTTGAAATCCATTAAGACATTGCTCAAATTTACTGAAGCCTCAAGATCATTTATAATTCTGAGATGGAATGTGCCTATTCATCACCATCATCTTAGGGCCAATTTCCATGTGAGTGGAAAAGTCATGATTACATGATGGCATCTCTCCAAGCTGCACAGTTTCTTGCAGCATCTTGTCAGGTTTTTATCTCTCAGGTCATCTCTCACAATCTCTCGCTATGTCATTCTTACCCTGCCCTAGTTCTTCTCCCTTCCAATTTTTTCTGTTTGAAGGTAACAGAAAAGAACATGCATGATCTTCTTAATTTTTGGGGGGGAAAAATGGGCTACAAAATAAACAGAAAAAAATTAAATCATAAACCATCCTTGTGTTCATAACCATTTGATAGAGAAACCATGATGACAACCATGATGACTTTAATAATAGCTGTAACAAAAACAAAAATTGTATATAATAATAATATTTAAAGGGGAACTCACACACGCACACATCAACTGCCACAGCTAAATCCCAAAGCCAACCATCCCACAACATCATGCTCATGCACATCACATTCAGGATACAGTACCGTATATAGATTAAAAATAACATTATTCCTCACCCCATCCTCTAAGCTGCCCCACTCTTCATCTTCTCCCCACCCATCTTCACCATCCAGATCATCATCAGCAGCTGCCAAGGCAGAAGATACACTAACAGGCTCTGAAACATTCTTTTTTATCTCTGGTAAGTTCCCCTGAAAAAATACAAAAATAGTTAAATACTGTATTAAGGTTATTAAGAACAGTAGCATGTGACTACCCCTCACACCACAAGGGATCAAAACATTATCAAGATAAAGATTGGTAAAAGTAGCCATTGATTTGAGTAAACCAGCTACTTGCCTACATATAAAATTTTCTAATACTACAGGGTAATTGACAAATTTTAAATACAGTACAGGTATATATATATATATATATATATATATATATATATATATATATATATATATATATATATATATATATATATATATATATATATATATATATATATATATATATATATATATATATATATATATATATATATATATATATATATAAATATATATACGGTATATATAATGTCCAGGGAAAAATTGCTGGTCATTGCAATATAAAAACTTCTTAGGGAACATGAGTTGATTCTTTAGAGTTCATATAGTACAGTACAGTACTTGTATTTCTTACATCAGAGCACTGTAAGGGAACATAACCTCCATGTTATGCAGGGTTCTACGGTACTGTACTGGTAAGACAAAAATACAGAGTGAGTGATGAGAAACCTGACAACAGCAAAGAAATTCATCATCACCAAGAGGACATACTCAGTTCTCTAATCTTATTCACTTTTGCATTTTGAAACAATACTCATTACTTACCTATTAACTTTTGCAAGAAAAAATTCACATAAAAAATAAAACACAAAATCAAAATAAAAGCAAAGAACAAGAAGCTGCTACATTATCCATTAAGAGAATACAACTAACCACAGGTTTCCACTTTGAATTCTCCCAGTCTTCATATTCTGATTCATCATTGTCATTGGCTGGTTTGGTTGCAGTTCTGCTAGTGGATCGGCTATGGTCCTGAGAAGGTGTGGAAGCTAAGCTACTGGACTTAGTGGAGGGCGTAATGGTACCAGAGGATGAGGTGGATGGCTGCAGGGTAAATGTATTTTGTATCAGTGAGTCGTCCATTCCAATGCATCAACAAGTGGGATTTGTTAAAGTGTTTTGAGAATATTAAAAACTTTGGTATAAACAGAACCAAAACCTTTAAAAGAAAATACAGAAAAAAATTAACAACAATAAAAACTGAAGATAAATGAGGCCAGATAATTATAACAGTCTCTCTAATACTGAAATCCACCAATAAAAATCTCTAAGCACAACAAAAATGTACGGTGATTAGCCACAAGGAAATATTTAGTTACTATTACCTTTTGTTGTTTCTGAGGTTGTTGCTGAGTATTTGCACTTAAAGAACTCTTATAGAATTTTGATGTGATAGCCCCTACAGCCCAGCCGGCCCAAGTTGTAGGCTGTGAATTACCTGAATTGAAGCTCCTCACTTCAGTCTCTGAAATTTAAAAATTATTACAGATGGTAAAAGTCTTTGTAAAATATCAGTCCTATCAAAGCAATAACAATGACATAAAGAAATTTTATCATATATCACAATGTTTAGTATCAACCTGAAATTATGGATCTAGACACAAGGGTCAATCCTTGATAACAGGGAAGTCCATAAAGAGAAAATTGTTTCTACCAAGCTAGCGAACTGATATTGTGAAAGTGGGTTCTAAAGGTCTGACAGCCCATTAAGGAGAAGCATGGAATCAGCACACTAAATACCAAGCCTTTGATACACAGGAGACGGTGTTGCTAATTATCTTACTCACAAAAGCTAGCTAAAATTTGCATATCAATAATACCAGATGCTATAAGGTCAGAATTAGACAAGTGTGTGACAATGAATTTGTATTAGTTCATCTGTCAGTGGAGCTAGGAATAGAATGGTAGGGTATTGGCAATTTCCGGAAAAAAGAAAAGAATTGTACAGGGTTCTCCACATAAAAATTAATATTATATTCTTCATAAATATTATGACTGTCTTACCCAATTGTTCTTTCAGTGATGGGTCATCTGAAACCTTTTCTAATTTGCTGAGGAATCCTTTTACGACACGGAAAACAGAGTCTCGAACAGACTTTTCTGGGTCCAATGTTATTTGGCAAAGATTTGGGAGGAGTCTGTCAAATGTAGAATGAAATATTACTTCATACATAAAATAGGCATAACCAAAAAGGACAATATAATTACTGTATATAAGAAAAGTTGTGATATTCAATTAAAAACTTAAGTAAAAAGAACACTTACTTTGAAACAACTTCCTGTAATGGGTAATACTGCTGTGTAGCTGCTATGGCCATTACACCAGCTGTGCGTGCTGGAGGAAATGGATCTCTCATGGCTCGGGTAAATGCTGAGGTTAAACATTTTTGTCTCACATCTGGGTGAAGGTAGTTTGCTATCTTTCCAAGGCAAACAGTGGTGTTGGTTCGGATCCCTCCCTGGAGGTTACCAAATAATCATTAAAAATTCCTAATACGGTACTGTATTATTTCTAAGATCATTAATTAACACTAGTTGCTCGAATTTTTTAAATGTGAACCCAAATCCTTAATCAGCATGTAAAATAGCACCTTTGTATAAAATTTAAACAAAATCCATTTTATGACCCCAAGTGCCAAAAATCAAAGCGAATCTTTGACGTTAGACTACATTTTTTTTATAAATAGGAAACTAAAGTGTTTATATAATAAAGATTGTCTATATTTTTAAGAAAATATATATAAAGGGAATTTAAGACTTACCAGCACAGCATAATTGACCTTTTAAATATTCTAAACACAGTATCATACAGTATCTTTACCCTGAAGTGTCATTATTAGAACCCCTTTCTTTGTAAAGCTTTAAAAGAATATTCTTCAAATAATTAAATAAAAATGATTACCATAATCCTTTGGCTATACTACCTTTGACAACATTAATTAATATGAAATTACGTATTTATAAAAAATTACATGATTTAACAAGTACTGTAATGTGGATAAATAAACAATAAATACTGTGACATTAAAAGGAAAATGGCCACAGGGATGCATGAATGAATGCTTGGGGAGATAAAGTACAAATATTTTGCAAAACTGAAACACAAAATATCACAAATCATGTAAATTAGAAACTAAGACAGATATATACAGCAGGAGGACAGAAAAGTTGACAAACGCCAAACACAAAGATACTGTCGTTTGGTTTAAGACAACAGTACACACCAAGACCTATAGTGGCCCTAGGGTACTTATACTTGTAAAAGACAAGAAGAAAACACACTTACTTGATCATCCTTTGACTGGAGACGGGCAAAGTGCTTCAAAACTTCCACGTTAAGATTATTATAGTTGAGCTTTGGTGCGAGAAACAATATTGACTGAAAAAAACATATTTACAGTATATCTGTTCTTATCTAAATTACTGAAATTATTTTGCAACCTCAAATTTAATTCCTTCTTTTCAAAATCAAATATCCAAGAGCTGGTGCCCTAGACCACAGTAAGCACTGTTGCTTCCTATGACCAATGAAATTTTGAGACTATAACCCCAATGTTCAATGTTCACAGTGTTTTGGTTTAAACTCTACAAAAAAACAAAATAAAAAATACACAGTAATGTTTGAAAATACTTTATAAATAATTTGCAAGTTGTTAAATAATATACATGAAGTACAGCAGTGTTTACAGTATTTTCATTTAATACTTCCACATCACAGTTAACAACAACACTTTTGATTAATTCTTGAACACTAACCTTAACTGTGTGTTCCCGTATGGTGGGGTTGGTGTCTAAGAATCCCGTAGCTAATTGAGGAAAGACTTGGTCATTAACTGTTGACTGGTTCATGTGCTCTACAAGTGAGTCCATCTGCTGTAAGAGTTTGAGTCGAGTAGCACGATCACTTGAGGAGAAGAGCTTCACAACACATGGGAGAATATACTGCTGATACTCCGAATCTCCGAGCAACTTGCCTATCTGTTAATAAGATAATTCAGTTTACAAAATGCACATTCGGAGATACAAAGATAAAATATAATATGTGGTTACAACATTTTATGAGAAGACTGTACAGTATAAATACAGGGTACTTAAATGAAAACAATTCCACAATGACAGACACACTATATACTGCTTTAAAATTATTATGATGGAAATGTAAATGATGGAAGAAACAGAAATTACACCGACAATATTGAAAACTCAACTTTAATGGAAGGCTAATTCTTACCTTAAAGAGGGGATTAAGTACAACAGATCCCACATTGGAGAACTCGTGAGCAGCCAAAAGAGCGGGCAAAACCTTGTTCTTGGCCACATAGTCAGGGATGTTGTCAAGCTTTGGTGTTAAATCTGAGAAGAATCTGAGGAATGAAGTAAAAAATCTTGAAAGAAAAAAAAAGGGACAATCGATGTACACTCACTCCAAAAGGCATCTTTACGGAGGAGTCCGAAGAATTTAAATTCGAAAACTGCAACTCCTGTCTGTAGGGTTGTCAAAATCCTTTGTCCGTTGTGTCATATTGTCTAACACAAAATCGTAGAGATACTTTTTAGAGTGAGTGTACTTCTCTGATGGTAAAGGTGCCTTGTAAAACAGAGATCTTGTATATAATTTCTATACTCTAACTGGCGCAAAGTACTCATATTTCAGTAGGGAGTAGTTAGGAAAATGCCTTTGAATGTATTTTTCCCCTGTAGCCAAAGTTTTCTTAAAATGAGGGTAAAATCAAATTTAAAGTGTTCGTACTTGCTCAGTTGTTATTGTTATAATCATTAGTCATTGTACTAAGTTATCAATACAGTACCATTTTTCATTAGTTAGGTACTGTAGGTTTCTTTTTTGTTTGTGAACTGACTTCATGTTTTGGGGTATAATAATGGGGGTTTCTTGTCATTGGGGAACTGAACCTTATTTTTCCCAATTGTTTTGTTATTCAAGATATAAAAATTCACTTAATGAATGGTTCCCAGGAACCTAACCCATTCATCAAACGAGGAATACAGTACCTGTATATTAATAAAAAAAAAACAAGTGCAATTTTGAAATAATGTTACTGTATCAGTAATTACCTTGGGTACTAGCAATAAAAGTATCTTTAAATAGACTTATTGTTATCAAAGGCAAATTACAAAGGAAAATACCTGTACCTGTAAAGTCAATCACATCACTGTATTTTAATTTTAAGATACCAAGCAGCAAACCACATACATAAACATAACAGTTTAATTGGTTCATCAGCTTTAAATTTATCATAAAGTTCAGCATGCTTCTACATCCTATTTCTGCTGAAGGCTTTACTCAGTTCTCTACCATATAAACTAAACGTTACATCTACGTACCTGTGCTTCTCACTAGCATCCTTGATTTGAATTTCTTCCAAAAACAAGAGAGTTTCGATAAGATCATTATTGAAGAAATTTCCTTGTTGACGAAGATTATTCACTACAACTTGTGGATTTGGTCGGGCAGTGGGGTTTGCCCCAACCAGTCGTGTGTATGTTGACACTAATGACTTGGGGATCTGTATGGGAGGCTATGTATCAGACTTATGACCACACAAAAAACATCCTAACAATAAAGATTTACCTAAGAATGAACTACTGTATACAGTGGTATCTCCGTTAGCCGGAACAATTGGTGCAGAGCACTTCTGGGAATGAGAGATTTCCGGGTAATGAGACGACTCTTCTCAAAGCCAGAAAAAAAATCCCTCATCCCCGGAATTTTATGGGTAACAGAAAAATGTTCTTGGAAGTTCCAGAAATTGCCCATTACATCATCTCTCAAACCCAGAAAAAAAATCCCTCATCCATGGAATTTTCCGGATAACGTTAAAATTTTCTCTGAATTTCCAGAAAATGCGCCTGATTTTCATCTCTCAAACACGGAAAAAAAACTCCCCCATCCCCGGAAGATTCCGGGGACCGGGAAAATTTTCTTTGAATTTTCCGGAAAATTACGACTTTGGGAACAATTTTCCGAGAAAATTTCAATTCCAGCTCTCGGAGAGTTCCGGGTTTGAGGGATTCCGGCTAATAGAGATATTACTTTACTATTTACTGTGTTTCTTAATCCTATTACTGAGGACCCAATTTGACTATTAGTTACATGGCAACTTAAAAACTCATATGACATAAACAATCACAATCTACCTACAGTATAAAAGAACCTATAGATATACGTATTATTCAATAGTTAACAATGGGTAATATGACTAAGACGGTAAGTGGAAGAGCATTTAGTATCTGTGGGGAGTTACTGATACCGTAAGTAGTTATGGTACTTTGAGCCAATGGTAGCGTGCAGCTGTCTCCTTGTTACTTTCCACTACCCGTGTTATGGTATTAAGGCAAATTTCAATTAATTTCCTTGATACTTAATCTTTATATTTTTCCTTCACTCCCACATGCCTGAGGCAAATAAAAAGAAACAAAAACTTCATAAGAGGGAAGAAATGATAGCTTACAGATATACTGTATAAGATAGGTGGAAAGAATGAGACGTAAATTATGAATCAACAAGCAAAACTCCACACACAACATACAACTTTACCTCATTCATACTGTCACCACACAAAGACTGACCTTCCTTTTCAAACACCGTAAAATTTTCTGTCCTGCATTTATTTTCAATATTATTCTTATGCAAACCTCATCCAAATACTGTACACTACCATCCTCTTCAACTCATCCTTCAAATGAGCTAGCAGCAGTTTCATCCAGCATTAAGTAGATGTGGCAAGATCTACTCTGTCACCTGAACAACTATGGTGCCATCACACACACTTCCCCTGGGGGCTTGGGGAACACTAAAGGTCTCATTACAACCATTCACTTACTAACACCATAAAAAACACTTCAGTGAGTCATCAACAAACTACACTTAAAAGTTTAAAAAGACCAGGGAAACAAAATGCCTGAAATAACTACCAACTTTGTAGCTAACAGAATTAGGATAGTAAGAAATATTGATGTTAACCACACAATCATAAAGATATGTTTTTCTTTTTTGGTTTGTAAATGTGTTTAAACAGCATTATTTACTAACCTTAGTGGTATTTCTGAGAGACATAGACTGGTCGAGATACCCATTAAATACTTCCCAGATCAGACATCCAAGTCCCCACACGTCTGCTGCCCTGGAAAACAAATGCAAAACAATATTTAACAAAAACAGAAAAATGAATTAATGAAAATATAAATCAATAAGTGTATCCCAAAGGACAACAAATTAATTATGTTTGCAGTTCATATACTCATTGTGTAGAAAACTATAAGGATAAACAATCATTACTAAATTATCACATTTTACTCATTCAAGTGTAGTAAGAAATGGTACAGTATACTAAACAGTACTTGAAAACATCCCCTTAAGCTGGGTTTTATATACAATACTATACCTGTACGTATTTTGTTTCTAAACCCTTTCACCTGTCTGTCTTAAATTACATCTTATTTTCATTGTCTTACACTTTATATAAATTCACAAATATTTAGACATCATAACATACTAATTGTGGTTAGTTACTGTTTGTTTTATTGGGGGTGAGGGGACTTAAATGGTTAGAATGTTTCTAATTACAGTATCTTTTTTTATCATAGTTATCCATCACAAGGGGGAGTTACAATAAAAGGGTTAACAAAGAATCAGTTGGTGAAGACAGTGAATGGCAGATGTTCAGGGGGTATGAGCAGGTAGAGAGAATAGATGGAATATAAATTAACAAATGTCTACATGAAAGAAATGTATAGACTGTGATTCAGGAATGTAGCACATATATTGAAGAGGGTGAAGACCTGTAATGAAATAATTATTAAAGGAACATTATGCTGTATCAAAAGAAGTGTCTTACGCATTATTAGTGAAACCCAGGCCTTGAAAAACATCAACAAATCCTTACCATTTACTTGATTTGCGCATTTTTGATGGGTCATTTTTTTCGGGTGGATTATAGGTGTCTAATTTTGTGATAATTTTGACAGGGAATGTGGATGAATCACTGCTGGAGTACTCCACACCCCCTAACTTCCATTCTCCACCACGTGTAACAAACACACTACTTGCACATACATTGTAGTGGATCAAATTTCCATCATTGTTTAAGAAACTTAGTCCTTTCTGTAAAAACAGGACAAAACATTAAATGGTGTATAGTAACACAGTAATTATAATAAGCATAAATAAACTTTGGAGTTGTCATTTGGCTAAAGCAGTTTTTCAGTAATGGAAAATTTTCAATCAAGTAACTTTCACAGTTAGAGAACACAAATAAAACTACTGTAGCTACTGTATTTGTATACAGTGGTAACACCTACAAGAATGACAAAATTATTACAATATAAAAAAAAAAAAAAATACAAAACCCATGTTTCCAAATTCAAGAAAATCCTAGTTTTTAAATAAAATACGTATACAAAAAATAAACAGTTCTTCAATTTGCTGGTGACCTTGTGTCATTCTCACACAACCTTTCCTAATGGCTTGAAACATATACTGTAGTTGTGGACCGTCTCACACAACACAACACAACTACAATAATCCTTCTGAACTTAAAATTATAGTATGGGTATATTTATTATGTTGTTTAAATCCCCCCTTTTATTTCCCTCTTTTGTAGGGTGTTTGTCCCCTTCACCCATCCTAAACAAACATATGAAGAGTAAAGGTAATATTGTACACCCACATATAAAATTAGATAGAACTACAGTATTATATAAAATAATGACTAATTTAGTAATTTTACAGAATCTCTTCAAAGTCACCTCTGTATGCAAATGTTAGTTGGTGGAGCTAAAGATTTGACAACAGTAAAGATGTGTAGACTCACAGTGACCTGAAGCAGTCCCCAGGACACAGCAGTTGTGCGATGTGCCGGAGAGAGGGAGTCATCACTCAGCCATGTTAATAAAGGAGTTACAGACTCAGTTACCAGGTACACCAACTTGTCACTCTATAGGTTACAAAAAAGTTACATTTTACCATACTGTACATGGTTTGTGATTATATACTGTATAACCTAGCATATTGCTGCCAATATTCTTGAATAATAGCTGTGTGTTTATGCTATTCTCTTTATTTTTCATCAGTTGACCCCACCAGCACTGATCATGTCACCCAGGTAAAACAACTCATCCACACAGTCCTGGGACATATTCCCAATGTTGAGTTACCTTATCCATACTGTTGGCACATGGTTATTTGCACATAACAGTATAGAACACTTAAAATCAACAACATCCCACAGTCTGCCATCTACTCCACAGCACCTCTGTGTACCCACCATACTAAAGAACCAAATGCAATATTTACTAAGGTCTTAATGTCAAAGAAACAAATTAATTTAAAAAGACAAAGTTATTAAAGGTAACATTGTGCAGATTGGTCAAACTTCATTTACTAATAAGAAAAGAAACTTACCTCTAAACTATCAATATACGTAAGGATGCAAGGGTGGCGGAGAGTTTTAAGTTTCTTAACGGCAGCCTTCGCCACGTCCAAATATGCTGAATTTCCATCTTTTATATCACACAAGAAGAGACTTACTTCTTCTCCATTTTGCTGTAAAATAGCAAAAGTACAATGCATAATTATGTACTTTCATAATATTTCTAACTTTCACTCTCTTGTTTACTCAATTGAATAATTCTGATTTATTATTTTACAATATAGTACACTACTGTACAGTATTGTAATATACTGTACTGCACATGAATGAGAATTATTTTAGTTTTAGTAACACTTGCATATTTTGTTAAATATATACTGTAGCTACTATACCAGTGTTCTACCCTTTAATAGCAGCTGATAATGTAGTCAAGATCTGAAACTTTGCAATAAAGATGTCTGATCAAGTGTTGATGTTTCTCTTTAGGTTTTACTGTACAGTATATAAACACTTGTGGTATGTTATAAAAAAAATCTCCAAGACATGAATTAAATGCAGAATGATACAGTACTGACATTTTCAAATTTTTCAGATACACAGAAAAAAAAATCCATTGCATCGATTCACAAACAAAATCACAATAGACACTTCTCCCGCAACAATGTAAATGATTTATTGTAGATATGATAACTCCCAACCAGACCAATGTCACCTTATTGGGGCAGTTGGTAGGTAGACAGTAGTAGGTGAAAGGAAAAAAATTACCTAATTACTGTACTGGAAAACAAGTCGACAAAAGGAAATAGTTTGAAGTCGATGTGTGTAGGGACAGTATTTTTATTGTACGGTATATAAGAAAAACCAACAAAACCTAACCTAGGATGCAATTGCATTATTATCAGTTGGTTGGTTGGTTAAGTTAAATTTTACTTTTTATAATGCCAACAGAAGGAAGGTGAACATGGTGGTTCAAGATGGTGGTATGAGCAGCATGCACCACATTCACTCTTAACAAAGGCAAGAGAAAACCAAAGCAGGGAAGTTGCAATCCTTAAACCTAAATCTTTCTATTCATGAAGTAAGAAACAAGTTTTCTTTGGTATTTATTCCACAAACACCAACAATGATTTAGGCTGACAAATATTTTTAAAGTAGTTTCTCATGCAGAACACTGTAAAGTGGTGAAAATTAAATGGTTAATATTCAACTGTCACCCATTCCTTTTCTAGTGTTTCTGACTTCTCTAAATGATATTTTTTTGAATTACAAATTAATATTTAAGATTAACGCTTCTTGTAAAAATGCTTGGTTTTCTGACTCCACCAAAGGCAGGTAGGGTTTCAAAGCAGAGGGATAATGAGAGAAAATGTGAAATGAAAAACAAACTAAAAGAACCTAACCTAATCTGCTACGTAGCTCATTCCCACGAGTCTGACATCTAAAGTGTTACTCTTATAATACAGTGTTAGAGAAAACCTTTCCTCATCCAATTATTGTTTTTACGTGAGGTAAGAAAGTGTTTATATTCTAGAGAAATGTCCTCAAGTTGTGGATTCAGGAGCACAATTGTCATGAAGCATACTGCCTGTAATGCCTAAAATCATCAAAATAATATAATGAAAACAGCACGGGTCAGTCATCAATAATTACTATCTAAGGTTGATGGTTAACTTCCACCACTGTTCCCGATATGTGAGGCTGTATAAACCATGGCCCTCACAGCCCGAGAAATCAACTGAAATTCCTAACTTTGTTCACACCAATAAAGGCTGACAGGCTGGGTTTACTTAATCCCTTATGATGATGTGGCCTCAATCGTGACATTCTTTCTTATTATCATTAGTGTAGTAGCTTGTCACTTTGTTTTAAAGTCAAAGAATAAAGAAAAGTAAAGAAAAGTTACATGGACTTATGAATGTTTACGTGTTGACTCACCTTTTTCTTGCCTCGATGGAGTTTCCACACTGTCCGGTTATCTTCACATCTAACTTCTTCTCCTAACTCATAAGGGAAGGAACTGGTTGGATCCCGGGAAAATATTGACCACATATTCTCTGACTTTGTATTTTTTTTGTTCTAAGCTGACACAGGGAGTGTTGAAGAGCTCCTAACTTGCCAACACACAACACAAAGTTTATAAGCTCGTCAACTAGCTACAGTCATCCAAAAATGTTCTCATTTTCTTATGTATTCGATTTTCATGATTTATTAATACATATATAAATGTTCTAATTAAATATATAATAATACAATAAATATAGGAACACATAATTACTGAAACAAGTTCGTCATTTTAATTATTTACTTTTGACAAGTTGCAAAACGAGTCTGTCAGTGAATCAGCTGTGAGTGTGAAGAATGGTAATGAAATTGATGTACCTTATCTTCCCTAGTCGTACAACTTTTCTTCATTCGGAAATATTCATTTAATATACATTACAAGGAAGCACCCCACTCTTATAAGACCGAATATAATACTTTAGTTGCTTGCTTTATCTTCTTCTCACAATGGCCCGAGAACATACACACCCAGATCCTTTTCACATTCGGTCTCTTAATGCAATGCCTTCGTCCCGATCCACACTATGACATTTATACATCATGATGAGCAAAACTAACATTTATACATCATGATGAGCAAAACTAACATACACGCAGACAGACACAACCGCAAACTGACCACGTACAGTCCATTATTCAACATGCGCATCTTGCACACTAAATGCATATCCAATTTAATGTTGAAGATTTTAGTCACATATTAGTTGACTTTGCCGTGACGAGATATACAGCTGTCACAGTTGGAACCCTCCAACTAGAGATATGGAGCTGGATAGTCAGTGAGTGAGGAATAATGAAATGGGCTAGTAGTGACGTTATATATGGGGGGTCAGAGTTACGTTACTGAAGCTTCATTGAATCATTTTAGAGGTCCACTGAATCATTTGAAGCTTCGAAACACGAAACTTACTAATACTGCATCAGAGCCGTGTTTTTTTATTTTTAGAAGTAATTTGATGGAATATCTTACGCAAAAAAACAATTAAGATGCCTATCGTGAAGAATTACTGTATATCAATGCCTCTCATGGGCTCAACTCAGGGCTAGTGGCATTTCTGTATGGACTCAGGGCTAGTGGCATTTGTGTGGACTCAGGGCTAGTGGCATTTCTGTATGGACTCAGGGCTAGTGGCATTTCTGTATGGACTCAGGGCTAGTGGCATTTCTGTATGGACTCAGGGCTAGTGGCATTGCTGTATGGACTCAGGGCTAGTGGCATTTCTGTATGGACTCAGGGCTAGTGGCATTTCTACATGGATCTATCTATCTGTGTCTAAGAGATGTTCTTGTCCTTATAATGACAGAATAGCTTTGTATTGCTTTTAAATAATGAATTGACTCACCTAGATCAAGTTCCACAATTACTATATATGTGAACTTTACCTCATCTTTGTGTTTTTATTATAAAGTAAACAGCTCATTGGGAAAATAAACAGTTACGCAAATGAGTGTTGTGTCGAATGTTTAATAAATTATTAGTTTTATTGTGTACATCATGTTGTTGTTTTTTTTATATGGGGATTAGCCCAACCAGGCACATCGGGGCCTGGAGGGCGAAAATGTAACAATACTACTACTACTACTACTACTACTACTACTACTACTACTACTACTACTAATAATAATAATAATAATAAGGAAATACAAAATTGAAAAAAAGATCAAGAGAAACGATACATGTATGTTGTGTTGTCAATAGTAAGAGAAACAATTGAGACCCTGCAATTGTGTGTAAATGAGGCAGAAAGTCAGATCAGCAACCTGGGACTTGGTCACAATCTTTGTGATGCCATATGGCAGCAGGGTCTACCATTAGACAACACATTATGCTTCCAATATCTTCCCAGGCGGTAGTACCTCCCTGTTTGGTAGCTGCCCACTACCTACTACCTCTGTTATGCGTAATACACACATTAATGCCATACTATTTCAAGTGTGTGTTAAGTAAAACATAAATTATGATTATGCGTATTCTTTATTTTACTTACTGTTACATCTTGTTCTCTATACACCAAACTAATTACAAACTCCATGAACAGCTGGCTATCTGTCAACCATCTGTGTGGATGACTCAGCCAGTAGCAGTAAGGTGGATGACTCAGCCAGCAACAGTGAGGTGGATGACCCAGCCAGCAACAGTAAGGTGGATGACTCAGCCAGCAGCAGTATCTGTCAATAAGAGATTTTCCTAAAGTCATCATAAAACTACTGAATATACTTATAATAACTTCGTGAGGTGCTGAGTGATGATAAAAGAAAAAGGAAAGTAACAGAGACGTGACCGAGCACCCAACGAGCCGATCAGTGGTGAAGAGCATAAAAGTAAAGTGTGTCTTGTTTGGAAGAAGTGTTCATAATGTCTAGTGTGTTCTCTCCCTCAACAATCTGTCTCTCCCTCCAGTGTGTTCTCTCCCTCAACAATCTGTCTCTCCCTCCAGTGTGTTCTCTCCCTCAACAATCTGTCTCTCCCTCCAGTGTGTTCTCTCCCTCAACAATCTGTCTCTCCTCCAGTGTGTTCTCTCCCTCAACTATGTGTCTCTCCCTCAACTGTCTCTCCCTCCAGTGTGTTCTCTCCCTCAACAATCTGTCTCTCTCCAGTGTGTACTCTCCCCCAACAATCTGTCTCCCTCCAGTGTTCTCCCTCAACTATGTGTCTCTCCTCCAGTGCTCCTCTCCCTCAACAATCTGTCTCTCCCTCCAGTGTGTTCTCTCCCTCAACAATCTGTCTCTCCCTCCAGTGTGTTCTCTCCCTCAACAATCTGTCTCTCCCTCCAGTGTGTTCTCTCCCTCAACAATCTGTCTCTCCTCCAGTGTGTTCTCTCCCTCAACTATGTGTCTCTCCCTCCAGTGTGTTCTCTCCCTCAACAATCTGTCTCTCCCTCCAGTGTGTTCTCTCCCTCAACAATCTGTCTCTCCCTCCAGTGTGTTCTCTCCCTCAACAATCTGTCTCTCCCTCCAGTGTGTTTCTCCCTCAACAATCTATCTCTCCCTCCAGTGTTCTCTCCTCAACAATCTATCTCCTCCAGTGTTTCTCCCTCAACAATCTATCTCTCTCCAGTGTGTTCTCTCCCTCAACATCTATCTCTCCTCCAGTGTGTTCTCTCCTCAACTCTGTCTCTCCAATCTGTCTCTCCCTCCAGTGTGTTCTCTCCCTCAACAATCCTGTCTCTCCTCTCCAGTGTGTTCTCTCCTCAACATCTATCTCCCTCCAGTGTGTTCTCTCTCCTCAACAACAGTGTGTTCTCTCCTCAACAATCTCTCTCCTTTCCCTCCTATGTTCTCCCTTCTCTCCTCAGTGTGTTCTCTCCCTCAACAATCTGTCTCTCTCCCTCAACAATCCTCTCTCCCTCCAGTGTTCTCTCCTATTCTCCCTCCAGTGTGTTCTCTCCTCAACAATCTGTCTCTCTCCCTCCAGTGTGTTCTCTCTCCTCAATCCTCAACAATCTGTCTCTCCCTCCAGTGTGTTCTCTCCCTCAACAATCTGTCTCTCCCTCCAGTGTGTTTCTCTCCCTCCAACAATCTGTCTTCCTCCAGTGTGTTCTCCTCTCCTCAACACTGTCTCTCCTCAGTGTGTCTCCCTCTCCCTCAACTATCTCTCTCCCTCCAGTGTGTTCTCTCCTCAACAATCAGTGTGTTCTCCTCTCTCCCTCCAGTGTGTTCTCTCCCTCAACAATCTGTCTCTCCCTCCAGTGTGTTCCTCTCCTCAACAATCTGTCTCCCTCCAGTGTGTTCTCTCCTCAACAATCCTCTCCCTCCAGTGTGTTCTCTCCCTTCTATGTGTCTCTCCCTCCCTCCAGTGTGTTCTCTCCTCAACAATCCAGTGTGTCCTCCAGTGTGTCCCTCAACAATCTGTCCCTCAGTGTGTTCTCTCCCTCAACAATCTGTCTCTCCCTCCAGTGTGTTCTCTCCCTCAACAATCTATCTCTCCCTCCAGTGTGTTCTCTCCTCAACAATCTATCTCTCCCTCCAGTGTGTTCTCTCCCTCAACAATCTGTCTCTCCCTCCAGTGTGTTCTCTCCCTCAACAATCTGTCTCTCCCTCCAGTGTGTTCTCTCCCTCAACAATCTGTCTCTCCCTCTAGTGTGTTCTTTCCCTCAACAATCTGTCTCTCCCTCCAGTGTGTTCTCTCCCTCAACAATCTATCTCTCCCTCCAGTGTGTTCTCTCCCTCAACAATCTGTCTCTCCCTCCAGTGTGTTCTCTCCCTCTAGTGTGTTCTTTCCCTCAACAATGTGTCTTCTTGAAGCACTGGACCAGTGAATATTTGGGAAGAGTGGACTGATATCTCTCTCTTGGTCTTGATGTGTTGATCAAGAAAAACCTTAGCAGAATATATATTTTTTGAAGAGAGGAATGGCTGTCTTTAAGCTGTAGTTAAATAAGACATCTGTGGCAAGATAAGACGCAATAAATAATTCCCCAGCAGCTTGTGATAGATGAAAATACATAGTCTTGTTTTTGTCTGAATTTATGAGAAAAAATATCGAATTATGTCCTCTACTAGAAATTAATTGAACACATGGAGCCACTCATAGTTGCCTGTGCAGTATTCTGGAAGTTTGCAGGTATAAAATAGATCTCAACTGTAACTGAAAAAAATCTTTATTATGATTCTTCTAAGCAAAAACTTGGATTCAATAGGCAACAAGCTTAAACCTGTTTTCAGGCAAATGTCTAAAGGAGGGCCACCACACTGGTGCTTGTACTACAGCACCTCAGTTACCCAGAGATTAAAATGCCTGCAACTGCCTAGCTTATACTATTACCAGGCAAAGGGTGACCGAATTGAAGTATATAAACACCTCAGAGGGCACTACTCAGTTGAGTGTCCATACCTGGAGCTGGCGGATGCCCGCCCCACAAGGGTCGCAGCTCAAGGATAAATACGCCACAAGTCCAGAAAATTGTGAGGACAAACTTTTTTGAGTGAGAATTGTGAACTTTTGGAACAATCTGCCACGGAGTGTTGTGACGGCACCGAGTGTGAGCTGTTTCAAGACCAGACTTGACCAACACTGGTACAGGTGCAGATACATTCAGGAGCCAGTACATGTCCAGTACTTGCCAACAGTGCGTAACAGAGACATAACTAACAGCCCAAGTGGCTAACGAGCCGATCATTGTCAAAGAGGATAAAAGAAAAGAAAAGAAATGGCATATAAAAAAATGTATTTTGCTGACTTTATTCACTATGGGTATGTAACAAATGCTTATTTATCTGGTATGTAAGTATTATCCCTATCAATTAACTAAACAATTTGTCCTTATCTCTCAAAGAGAATCAGCATTGGTGATTACAGCCATGGGTCTGAGGTTCTTGTTATCTGTAATCGTTAGACTAGTGGTGTGAGAGTGTGGTCAAACTAATGCCTGTGTGAACTAGTGTACGTATAGTACAGTATAGTGTTTTTGTGTCAGAAATAATATGTGGAAGGATAACACAGTACAAGAAATTATTTCTGCAATCGGCAAAAAACGTTCAAAAGACTGTCCTAGTTAGAACAATATAGGTATAGTGAAAACTATACAGTACACGTTTAAAGAAACAAGGAAAATATTGGTAACATTACAGCAATCCTTACAACACTGTGTTGACGACACAGTGTATCACAGTGCCCGTAACTTTGACTATTTTCTCACAAAAAGAGTCTGAATATTCATACAGAACATGATGAGCCTCACAATGACGTTCCTGTTGATGGCTTGGGTGAGCGGCACAGTGAATGGCATAGCAGGTGGGACAATGGGTGATGCAGAAGGTAACAGTGCAGACAGCGGCGTATACCTGGAGGTTTTCCCGAGTGCTGAGTGGAAGGTGCCTGAGGACACCCTCCACCACCTCACACTGTCTCTGGGATTCAACGAAAATGACACTTACTGTGATGGTGGGCAGGACCTGACGGAGGCTCAGCTGGTGGTGACGGTTGTACCTGATGAGGACTGGAAGCTGGACTTTGTCAACAGAAGCATACACTTCACGGTGGAGGAGGTGTGTGATCATGTCAACAAGAGCCTCACCTTCTCTGGCTACTACTGGGGGCTCACCAAGCTGTCCTTCTACCTCACCACCAACTACCATCTCCTTCACTTGTACAACAACACTTTACTGAGGGATGACGTGTTGGTAAGTACCTGTAGTTGTACAACAACACTTTACTGAGGGACAACTTGTTGGTAAGTACCTGTAGTTGTACAACAACACTTTACTGAGGGACAACTTGTTAGTAAGTACCTGTAGTTGTACAACAACACTTTACTGAGGGACAACTTGTTAGTAAGTACCTGTAGTTGTACAACAACACTTTACTGAGGGACAACTTGTTAGTAAGTACCTGTAGTTGTACAACAACACTTTACTGAGGGACAACTTGTTGGTAAGTACCTGCAGTTGTACAACAACACTTTACTGAGGGACAACTTGTTAGTAAGTACCTGTACCTCACACTTCTGTCTCTTTACTACTTTATCCTCTTCCCCAATGATCGTCTTGTAAGCCGTTTGGATGGTCAGTCATGTCTCTGTTACACACTGTTGGCAAGTACTGGTTCCAGAGTGTATCTGTACCTAAGCCAGTGTTGGTTAAGTCTGGTCTTGAATGAGCTCACAGTTGGTGCTGTCACAACACTCTCTGGCAGATTGTTTTAAGAATTCACAGCCCTCACTCCGAAAACGTTTGCCCTCACAGCTTTCTAAACTTGTGACTTCTTTAACCTTAAGCTGTGACCTCTAGTGGAGTGGGCATCCTCCAGCTCCAGGTATGAATACTTGACCGAGTAATGTCTTCTGAGGTGTTTATAAACTTCTATTAAGTCACCCCTTGTCCGCCTATAGTACAACCTAAGCAACTGGTGGCATTTTAATATCTATGGGTACATGAGGTACCAGAGTGAAGGCCCCAGTCTGGTGCCTTTGGATGTTTTCAATCAATTGACATTCTCTAACATATACCGAGGACCCGACAGGATGACAGTACTGCAAACGGGGAAAAACCTCGCTTGTGAAGATCGTTACGAGGGACGGATCATATAGGTACATAAACACCCTTCTTAAAAGACCCATTAACCTAGATGCTTTATTCAACTTCACATAATGGTCATAGAATTTCAGTTCATTGTCAACATACACACCCAGGTTCTTTTCACATTTGGTCTCCGTTAATGTGATGTTCCCTTTTACTGTTGATACGACCTATAGGTGCATTTCTTGCATTTTATTACGTTAAATTTTAACAATCATTCTTTTGACCATTCCTGAAGCTGACAAGAGAACTTTCAGTACCTCTTTACAGTCTGTTTGGTTCTTAATTTCTCTAAATAACTTGGCATTGTATGGAGGAGCGTTTATCTTCTGATACTGTCATTTATGAAACAAATAAACAACAATGGGCCCAGCACACTGCCCTGTGGCACCCTGCTTGTCACAGGTGCACATGACGATTTTGTCCCATTAATCACCACACACTGCTTGTTGTTACAAAAAAGTCTCAGATCAATTGGTCTGTTACACTTTCTGAGAAAACAGTTAATGCGAAGTACCTTTTGTCAAGTAGTTAGAAGTATGGGCAGGTCACAGAAAATGACTAAATAACAAAATTCTAGAGGAGGGAAAAGACCTAATTTAACTAAGGGTCACCCCACCTATAGGTGGTGACCAGGATGGGGAAAGGAGACCAGTGTCCTGTGTTGGATCCTCCCATTGTTCTTGATAGTCTCGTCAAGGGTTTGTATTGGTCAACTGTTCGACAGGTCTACCACCCTCTGTATGAAGAAGTATCTCATTATATTTGTACTGCATGGCATCTTGGCAAGCTTGAAAAAGAATCCTCTTGTTTTGGTGGGGAGTGACTTCACATAATATTTATATGTATTCCATTCCTTTCAAGGTTTTGAATGGCTCTATGAGATCCTGTATATTGTGTTGAGTCTGAAGAGTTGTCAGTCCTTAGGCCCTCAGTCTTCTTGGATAATTGAGATGCTACAGTTCATCAATTATCTTTGTTGCTCTCCATTGATCCCTTTCTAAGAATGTTATGTCTTTCTGGAGGTACAGCACATAGAGTCCCCATGCCTATATACAGTAGTTCAGATGGGGATGTACGAGAGACTTATAAAGCTGAAGGAGCATCTACTGTACTTATCCTTGATTTTAATTGCACAGTTTGTAAGGTAATTCATAAAGTTTGGAGGATAAAAAAATATCCTCATGTAACTTAGTCATCTGCAAGCATGATCACTTCCCCCCAAAAATAATTAGTTCTGCAAAGTGTTGACAATAATTCTTCCTCATCTTTAAGTAGTTATCTTCTAAATTCTTGATGGCATAAACTGTGTCATATTAATATAGCTTTTATGGTGGCATCTGTCTCATGTTTATCGTAATTCTTCTCCACCTTCATACAGTTTCATTTATTTAAATTAATAAACCATCAAATATCATATGTTTGAAGAAGTCAGCATTGGCCGTGAGATGGTCTTGTTATCACCTTATCATAAATCAATTATCTTCTGGGGGTTTAAGTCTGCTTGACAACTGATCGTGATTACATCCAGACAAGGAAAAGCCACCGAAAATTTTAATGGTTTGTGTTAGTTTTGATATGTTTCAGAAACTATTGAGAAATTAATTCATGTGTAATTCACGTGATCTTATGGATTCACGGTGGTTGACTGTAAAGTTGTCTCTGGGTAACTTTTCTGACAATAAAGTTATGAACACAAATGACTAGGTAAGAAAAGTACTGTACATATACATAAAATTTCTCACACAAAAAACAAGTTTAGCCATGTGCATAGAGCAGCTTTATACACACACACACATGTATATATTAGTCAAAACAAGCATACAGTATATTGACAATAGCAGTATATATTATAAGCTAATCATCTAATACCATGACTCGGAAGTGTTACAAGATAAGTTGTTCTGCTGGAGTCTCTACAACACACATTTTTAGTTTACACAGTTTGTATTGTTTCTTCAATGCCAATCATCTTCCCTGTCTTAAATATTTCTAAATTTCTCTTGAAAAATAATAAACTCTGTAACTTACTTGATACACAAAGTACTGTATTTTACATGTGTTCAGTAAAATTCCTAGAAATGGGAAACTATATAATCAAAAAATCTATGGTTATCAAATCTTTTAATGATATTGTCACTACTGTATATGTATTTTTAGATTACAGTAGATAGAAAGACCTACGTGTTGGACTTTGTGTTCATCATCTTTGGGGCAACGTTCGTGCTGGTCAACAACATCAACATGGGCGCCCAACTGGAGCTACAGATCATCAAGGCCGTACTCAGACGACCTCTTGGCCCTGTCTGTGGCTTTATTTCTCAGTTTGCTTTCATGCCTTTGGTGAGTGTGGCTTCATATTGTCTAAACACCAGTAATTTGTCATATATTAATTACTGTACTGATAGAATTAAGAAAACTGATGTGGAGAGAGAAAGTGTAAATTTTAAAACTCCACATTTCCTCCTTTACATAAAAAATTGTATCATTCACATTCCTGAAGTGAATAAGATGTGATCCTTACCTTTCAGTTTTCGTTCATCATGGGTAAGATCTTCTTCGAGGACCCACTACAGCGTCTGGGACTGTTCACGCTTGGTTGTAGCCCAGGGGGAACCTCCTCGAACTTCTGGACCCTTATGTTTGATGGAGACATCAACCTCTCCATCACCATGACTGCTATCTCTACCATTGCTGCCATGGGTGATTTATTCTTCTGATTTTTGGGGGGGCCTGATACTATATTAACAAACATCAATTTCAACAACACTTTAAATTTTTCATATTATGCAATCTATCCTGATTCTAATGCTTACTCAAATTTGCTTAGGGGGTTAAGAGAGTTTAGATTATACTGGATTTGTGTACAGTAGATGGCAAAGTTGAAGAGATTTTGGCTGGGTTAGGTTGTTACATAAGAACACAATTGTACTAAGTTTCTGGAATACATACACTGTATATATGAAATAATGTAACTTATTATACACTAAGATTGATCATGTACTTGCTAACAAACTTTTATATTTACTGTCGTGAAAAGTATCATGATCTATATACATAAAATGCAAATAATTCTCTATACAGGTACTAAGTATTAGAATATTAAGTAGTATACTGTATTACCTCATAATCCTAGTTATCCTGATGAGATAATAAATAGGTGAAAACGAAGTAATTGTATATATATGCTACAAAATGTAGAAAAGATATAAAGAAATACAGAAATTAAATACAATACTGTACAATGAGTTAATTTCACCAGACAAAATAATGGATCTTCAGTGATGTTGGCCAAGATGTGTACACCAGATAAACAAAACACGTTGTCTCCTCAGGGATGATGCCGCTGTGGATGTTTACCCTGGGGAAGAAACTCCTGGAGGATAACGCTAACCTCCAGATCCCTTACTCCAACCTGGCTCTCTCCCTCGTCAGTCTTACTGTGCCTGTAGGGATTGGCATGTTCATTAGGTAATATAATAATAATAATAATAATAATAATAATAATAATAATAATAATAATAATAATAATAATAACAATAATAATAATAATAATAATAAAAATAATAATACAGTAATAATAATAACTAATTTTATATTTGATTAGGATAGTATAAGAATATACAAAATGTTTGCAAGTTGAATTGCTCTCTATATGACAGATATGGAATTGTCAGGTGTAATTACCGGTACAGTATTGTTCTTGAGACAATCATAATAAACTTTTAGTGAAAGTACAAGGTTTTCTAATGATTAAATCTTATAATATAACGTAACTTAGAGAGGAGGGATAAAAAAATCGATGGAAATGAGATCGAGAGAGAGAGTGCTACTGAATAATGGAAATACTTCAACAACTAAGGATATATTGCCATCGAGAGAGAGAGAGAGAGAGAGAAAGGGAATTGTTGATTTTATTGAATTTTGGAAGGGCTTCAGCAATTAATTTGGGTTATATCACCCCAACGAGAAAGAGAGAGAGAGAGAGAGAGAGAGAGAGACCAACATCAACTCTAACTGAACAAAACAAGCTAACTACGCTGTTGTGTTGACAGGTTTAAGAGACCGGTGTGGGCTGACAGAGGCCGACGGATCATCAAACCTTTTACTCTTATCGTCATCCTATTCTTCTTGACGGTGAGGTGATTCCAAAACACACAACTTTATCATTAATTCTTGTTATTTACTGCATAATTTCAAAAGAAGGGACGCTTTAAATATGGTAGAATTTAAAGACTTTTCAGGGTTGGTAATCAAAATTTTCATTTTATCTTACAATGATCCTGGAGTTCTGGAGCAAATTTTCAATATATTTTCCCATAACAAAATATAAGTGACATACCCTGGATTTATTTACCCCATGAGTACGATACTAACCTTCTGAGCACTGTCCAGCAAGTTAGTCCATTGAGTAAGATATCTTAACCTCTTGAGTACAATGACATAATCCCCTGAGTACATGTCTTAACCCTTTCAACATGATGGCCTATATCTATTAGTACAATGACATTGTTGATGGAGTTTGTCATCGTTCTCTTGATTTTAATTTATCGTATTCAAGAGCTTAAATCATTGTACAGTACGTAAGTGGTTAGGTCATCATGTTCAATGGAGTTGTTTTAGCCATTGTACTCAAGGAGTTATCAATCATTATACTCAAGGGGTTAAGATACTGTACTAATGAAAGTTACTTAAAAATAATCAAAGGGTTAAATTTCAAAGTCTGTAAATACCAAATAACATCATAAAAAACAAAAAAATTTTTACTCTTTGTACACCAGCTTGGCATCTACAACTCCTATAAGGTATTCACCATGATGACGTGGCAGATGGTTGTGGCGGGGTTGTTGGTAGCCATTTGCGGGTACAGCTTTGGTGCCATCTTCGCTAAGTTGTGGTGTCTCCCGAGGGATAAAGTCATCGCCATCAGTATCGAGACGGCTCTTCAGAACCCAGGCGTCTCTTTCATCCTTCTCAAACTCTCACTACCCAGTCCAACCAGGTGAGAACCATCTGGGTGGTTGACTGACTAAATTCCATGGAACAAAACACAAAAGGAAAATTTCTCCAGGCATATTTTGTACCTGAGAACATTCTACCGGTCAGTTTCCCAGCGGACAAAAATCCCATTGGACATTAATACTACAGTACTAGGTAAATTTTCCTCTGGTCAAAAATCCATGGGGGAAGAAACACCTGGAGGATAACACAAACCCCAACCTGACCATCTCTCTTATTATCATTAGGTAATAATAATAATAAGATAATGATAATAAAATAGTATAATAATGATAGTAATAATAATACAGTAATAATAATAATACAGTACAAATTTTCCCCGCCATCTTGGTAGTTGCTCTTCTCATCTGTGCGTGAAACCATGAAATGTAAACATGAAAATAAAACATCGAAACAAAACCTCTGGAGAGTTTGAGAACCAGTTTTTCTGTAAAGCTCGATAATTTATATGGCATGATTGAAGTAGGTAATTTATTTCATGGGATTTTTGTAAACGCTGTCAAGTTGTGAACGACTGTGACAAGTTACAAAAATTATCTACTTTATGTTTTGCTGTAGAGTACAGCTTCTGCATACACATGTTAATGTTGAGTACGGTTTTGGGTATACTGTACACATTAGGGCTGAGTAAACAATTATAAATTCGACCGAGGACAGCTCAACAATGGTGTCAAAACCTATATCCAGTGGGCCTTTTGCTTAGGCTTTCTTCTATCTCTCTGAAAAAAAAGTTACTAAATTCTTGTGTGTTACAGTGATCTTGCAGCCCTCCCAGCCATGGCCACCATGATGATGACGAGTCCGCCCATGATGCTGTGTTACCTCCTGTACTTCCTCTTCCACCGGTACTGTGGCTGCTGCCCTGACCCTGTCCCTCAACATCAGCAGGAGCAGAAACCCTCCACTGACACCCAGCAGGAGGTTGCCAAATTCCTCCCTGACACCCAGCAGGAGGTCACCAAGTCCCTCCCTGCTGCTGAGGATGGCTATGCCGCAATGCCCGCCAAAGAAAATGAGAAGAGAAACTATGTTATTGTCCTGGAAGGTCTCACTAAGAGAAAAGTAATGGAGTCTGAGAATAGACCTTAACTTTGTTAGCTAGAAAAGAAATGAGATGGATATTGTACTTTTGTTCCTGAATAAAGTTATGAATGAGTACCTTTTTTTGATAGGTCCAAGATCATAAACAATAACATTACCACAGTACCTAAGTGGATATACATAGAGGGTGCTTTGTTCAGCTGTCCTTGGTTGAATCAACTTACTGTTTACCATTGTCTTTGCTGATTATATGTATACCTGCACTGTCTACACTATATACAGTACATTGTATACCTTCACTGTCTGTGTACTGTACTGTACCTGGGCCATGGTTTTTTAGTTTTACAACTATATACTGTATACAGTACAGGTTGGCAAATTTCCAGGTACAGTACCTTGACTTATACGCCACCCTGTATACGTATATCAAATGTCCCCAAAAGAACAACCTCTTTGATGAGTAATGACAACAATGTAAAACTAAATAAAATGTGCACACTGAAGCCTTTAACAGGTGTGTGTGTGTGTGTGTGTGTGTGTGTGTGTGTGTGTGTGTGTGTGTGTGTGTGTGTGTGTGTGTGTGTGTGTGTGTGCAACCACTTCTTGACCCACCCTAATAGAGTATCTTAATATCGGGAGCAATGCTCTTAATTTTAACTTCCCTGTATGTTTATATTTCTTGTTGTATAGCATCATTACTATACTCCAACAATCAAATCATTATTATTAGTATTATCGCAAGAACAGGAATAATTATTATTTTACAATCATTATGGTCAAAAGAAAACGTCCTCTTGGAGTTGTAAATAACTTTGAGGTTCATTATAGCGAGATTCATTTATAATCAGAGAGACATTTAAAGTGTAAATATAGCTAGTTAAAATCTATTAATCTCCTACGCAATCTTATCTCCTCCCTGATAATGCGATGATTACATAATCGTGGTAAGACAAAGTAAAGTAGAATACCCAGTGCCGACCTTCTACACGATGCTTCAACACTATTCCCTCGCTACAGAGAGGAAAAAAACACCTTGGGGATGGAATTTCTGCGTTATCTCAGTGGCCTTGTCGCTAAAGCTCGAGTCATTACAGCAGATCAAATATTGTTATTGTTGTTATAATGTTATTACTGTGCTTCAACAATGGAAGTCTTTAGGTGTGTAACAAATAATATAGCCTATTCCAACAACATTATCAAATTACGAGATTGAATTTTCTGTATTAAATGTTTGATAAGACCTGTAGTTATTTTGAGTCGGAAGGTCAAAGTCCTCCATGTCATTTATCGGACAGGAGGAATCTGTGTCATTTGTGATAACAGTTGGCAGTATATTTGGTCAGTTGTGTCGGTGATGGTGGCTCCAGAGTAACAGCCCGACGAGATTTTGAGTGAACGCTGAAAACATTTATATCTTATTGTCAGTTGGTGATATTAACAAATTAAAGAATAAGAATGATTAAACGTAACTGGCAACATATAAAATACATAACATGATATGTCATGAAACAATTAAAATAAACTGAGTCCGTCGAATCAAGTACATATTCTCTTGTTCTCACTTCACTTATCCATCATACTATTAAATGTTGTGGCTTTGGTGTATGTTGGTGGTGGTGGTGGTGGAAGGCATAGTGGGGGATACAGCTGACAACGGTGTATACCTGGAGATTTTCCCGAGTGCTGAGTGGAAGGTGTCAGAGGACACCCTCCACCACCCCACACTGTCTCTGGGATTTAACGAAAATGACACTTACTGTGATGGTGGGCAGGACCTGACGGAGGCTCAGCTGGTGGTGACGGTTGTACCTGATGAGGACTGGAAGCTGGACTTTGTCAACAGAAGCATACACTTCACGGTGGAGGAGGTGTGTGATCATGTCAACAAGAGCCTCACCTTCTCCGGCTACTACTGGGGGCTCACCAAGCTGTCCTTCTACCTCACCACCAACTACCATCTCCTTCACTTGTCCAACAACACTTTACTGAGGGATGACGTGTTGGTAAGTACCTGTAGTTGTCCAACAACACTTTACTGAGAGATGACGTGTTGGTAAGTAACTGTAGTTGTGCAACAACACTTTACTGAGGGACAACTTGTTAGTAAGTACCTGTAGTTGTGCAACAACACTTTATTGAGGGACAACTTGTATAACTATAGAAAGGATTTGGGTGCTTGAATGACATGACAAAAAAGTCTCAAAATCTGATATTCACTTATTCATAGGTTGCAGTAACCCAAAGAAATGGTAAATATTAGGTAACAGACTGGACACCCAACCAACTTATGAGTGTGAGCCCTGCTGTACATGGCTAAACTACCTCCTCCTCCCTAGCTTGTCTTGGCACTCTACTGAGTTTTTCATATATTAACAGGAAGGCATAAGATGAAGATCAAAAGATTAATGGGAAGCAACAAAATATAAGGAAAGAGAATGATTAACTAATGAAATTTGCTGCTTTGTTGTCTGGATTCACTTTGAGAGAAACTTGGTTATGTAAGAGTCACAAACGAAGTTTAACGTTGTTTACAAAGAGAGGATCAGAGTTGTGAGCAACATCATATTAACTACAGTACTGTATCTACATTCAACATAATTTGGTTCTACAGATCACAGTAGACAGGAAGTCTATGATGATGGACACCATCTTCACCTCCACCGGGGCAGTGTTGATACTGTTTAACAACGTCAACATGGGGGCCCAGCTGGACCTAAAAGTTATCAAGGAGGTCCTGATGAGACCCATTGGTCCTGCATGTGGCTTTATCTCACAGTTTGTTGTCATGCCTCTGGTGAGTGAAGTTCTAACGAAAGTTTTATATTTTCACTTAAAATTCGTATACTGTATAGACATACCCTATGTGTCATACAACAAAATATCCCAACTTCATTTTTTTTAGAAACCTGACTATTTACTAATACAGAACAAAGGACATCTTAGGTAAAGTTAACATTACAAAATACTGTATGCTCTAATTTCTATGGAGTTATAAGAATTATAACACAAAGTTCTCTTTCCTTCTGTCACTTCTAGGCTTCCTATGTGATGGGTATTTTATTGCTCACTGCCCCACTACAGCGTCTGGGACTGTTCACGCTCGGTTGTAGCCCAGGGGGAACCTCCTCGAACTTCTGGACCCTTATGTTTGATGGAGACATCAACCTCTCTATCACCATGACTGCTATCTCTACCATTGCTGCCATGGGTAAATACAACTAGAAAAATTTAACAATTAATTTTTACACTCTATAAAGTACAACTCTTATTCTGATTTTGTTGCCAAGGCTTTTGACACAGTTCCTCACGAAGGCTGAAAATTAAACTGGATTTTGGAGAGCATCCTAGCGTGGAGCAGAGGCTTTCTTCATGACCGCAAGCAGTGTGTGGTGACTAAGGGCATGAAATGATATGCCAGAAGCTATACACTCCTCCAGACAAATGTTTGAAGACAATACTTGCACTTGGTTATTCGAGGAAATTAAGAACCAAACAGACTGTGAAGTGCTCAAAGATCTTAGTCGGCTTCAGGAGTGGTCAAAGAAATGGCTGATAAGATTCAATGTCACAAAATGCAAAAGGATGCAGATAAGTTGTACCAATACAAAGGAGGCATATCATATGTCTCAACGGAACTAAGAAACATCATAAGCCGAGACAAAATGTGAAAAGGACCTGAGTGTGAATGTTGACAACAAACTGAAGTTCTCAGACCATTGTGAGAAGGTAGTACATCACGCAAATAAGCCAGTAGGTCTTATAAGAAGGGCGTTCACATACTCTTATAGTCCATCCCACATAATACTCTTCAAAAGTGAAGTGCTTCTGGTCCCTGACATATGCTAGAGACTGTCGGTTGATTGAAAACATCCAAAGGAGGGCCACCAAACTGGTGTCTGCACTCCAGCACCTTAGTATGACTGCAGTTGTCCAGCTTATACTATAGGTGGTCAAGGGGTGACTTAATAGAAATCTATAAGCACCTCAGAAGACATTACTCAGTCGAGTGATCATACCTGGAGCTGGCAGATGCCCACCCCACTAGAGGTCACAGCTCAAGGTTGAAGGAGCCACAAGTTTGAAAATTTGTCAGAGCAAACTTTTTTGGGGGCGAGAGTTGTGAATTCTTGGAACAGCGTGTCGGAGTGTTGTGAAGGCACTGAGTGAGAGCTCATTCAAGACCAGGGATGACCAATGCTAGCGAGGTAAAGATACATTCTGGAACCAGTACTTGCCAACAATGTGTAACAAAGACGTGACCGACCGCCCAAGTGGCTAACTGGTCTATCAGTGGCAAAGAGAATAAGGTTAACTTTCATTGAGTGATGTGTTCCTTCTGGTAAGAACAACCTTGTCTGACAAGTATTCAGTATGTATATATATTCAGAAATTATCAAGGGTTCAATGAACATAAAGTAAGAGGACTCCGGCCATCAACTCTATATTATATCTGAAACTGTTCATAACCTTCAAGTTCTTACAAGTGAGTAACCTTTGAAAAATACAATGATTAAACTATGATTTACAGGATGTAGTGTTTCTCCTGTGTTATTTTACCTCAAACAGTTCAGATCAACGCCTCGGTTAATATATGACAACTAGACTTATCTGACCTTTCCAAGCGCTTTTTATAAGTTAAAGGAAAACATTATGATCATCTGAAGATTAGGCACCTCTGCTTATTTCACACCATGATTAAATACCTTAACCCTGACCTAATCTAACCTAACCTAACTCCTCCATGTAGCAATGAGGTGTTTAATCATCTGGTGAACTAAGCTGTGGTGTGTAATTTTCACAGGAAAAAATAAAAATAAATAAAATAAAATAAAATCCTTCAAAATTATATCACCTTTCTCATCCACATCACTGTGTGTTCTGCTTCAGGGATGATGCCGATGTGGATGTTTTCACTAGGCAAGAAGATGTTGAAGGATGCTAACATCACTATCCCCTTCGGTAACCTGGCGCTCTCCCTCATCACACTCACCTTCCCCATCCTCCTCGGTATACTCATCAGGTAATTACTTGTTGTTACTTATCCTATTGTGAATAATGGATTCATTTCTTAACCTGAAGAGGTTAAAGCATCATTTTCAAAGGATTAAACCTTAAGTAATTAAATAATCACCCTAAAAGTGCTAAACCATTGTCCTCAAAGGATTAAATCACCATCGTAAACATGCTAACTATCATGCATGTTTGGTGTCCACGTACTTTAGCTATTTTTAGGTTTTCAGTTTTTACTTTTTTCTGTTTACTCATTTTTTCCCTGTCTTCAAACAGTATGAATGAATGTACCATGATTTTCTTTCATTCCAGGATGAAACGGCCACTGTGGGCTGACAGAGGTGCCAAGATTATCAAACCATTCTCATTTTGTATTCTACTCTTCTTCTATATTGTGAGTAGTGGGTGTTCATTTTTCATACTTTTTGATCTACATGTATACTGTATTATGTCACATATGGGCAATTTAATACACGTTTATAAGCAACTCACTGAACATTACAGTCTCAACTTACAAAAGCCATCTGTTATAGGTGGGCACCTGGAACTCTTACAAGGTAATGTTGTTGATGACTTGGAGGATGGTGGTGGCTGGCTTTTTGGTTGTCTCCAGCGGCTACACATTTGGTGCTGTCTTTGCTAAGGTTATGTGTCTCCCAAAGAAGCAGATCATTGCTGTCAGCATTGAGACGGCTCTACAGAACCCTGGCGTTGCCTTCATCCTCCTCAAGCTTTCCATCGAGAGTCCATACAGGTGACGACGTTTTGAAACCTTGACTGTTTTCTATTTTTTATTTTTAATGTAGACAGTGGAGGTATACAAACAATGTACAGTATACATAGACAGTGCACGTATACAAACAATGTACATTTAAAGTGCAGTTGTAGAAACATTGGTAAACAGCAAGTTAATTTTCCCAAGGATGGTCCAACAAAGCCTTCATATGCTTATTATTGTTAGGATTAGGTTAGGTGGCTGAACAATAGCTGTGCTGATATATAAATTAAGATATTGAAAGCAGCGTTCATTACTCCTTTTCTTATGATTCAGTTCCTGCTTTTCAATAATTTCTTATATTGATGTATTACTATTCATGTTCATTATCATATTTTGAGGATTTATATATTGGTGTTCTTCCTGCAGTGACCTGGCAAGTGTTCCTATTGTGGCCACACTGCTTGTGAGTGCGCCGCCACTGATACTCGTCTATCTAATTTATGCTCTTCTCCGGCGCTTTTGTGGATGCTGTCCTGACATAGAGCAGAGAGATGACCTCACCCATACACCTGAGGATGTTGAGAACCTTAAACAGCTACCGGGAGATGCAAAATTTAATGATGAAGCGAATCAGTTCCTTCCTGAATCATGTGGCACAGATTGATTTGTTTATCCTCATGATGATAATGAGTTTTACCTTTACCTTATTTGCCTCATAGCCACCTACTAGAAGTGGCCAGTGGCCTATAGGATCCCTCCATGGTTCTTGATAATTTATACGTGTTACTGCTGTACCACCAACTAATATACTAAAAACACACATCATTGCTTAAGAAAATCCCTGCCACTTACAACTACTGGATTAACAAGTATATGAATGAGTAGTTACAAACCATTATAAATCAAGTTATACTGAATATATATAACAATGACCATAATTTGTCAGTTGTGTTATTACAGGTTATACATGTTAGTTGTGTTGTGTTACAGGGTACACATTAATTGTGTTGTACTGTATTATAGGTTACATGTTAGTTGTAATGTATTATCTTACAGGTCACATGTTAGTTGTATTACAAGTCATGTGTTAGTTGTGTTGAGTTTATCTTCATATAATATTTGTCTGTTATTGCTGCTGTTGTTGTTTCTACAATACAGTACACTGCAATTGTGTACTTCACTTCTCCAACAACTAAAGTCTTACAGCACATGCTCCAGCTACTGTAGGTCCAATGACTAAACAAATAATAAAAAAAATATTATAATTCTTATTTGTTGTGTTGATGTTAATATGTCTTACTGTACTGCATTTTAACAACTAAAGTCTTTCGCCCCTTGTGTACAGGGGTCTTTCTGAGCTGAATAAACACTAGTCACCAAGAATTAGAAATTAAAATATATCTTCCTAGGTGTTTGTTGAGGCTGATCATGACACTCCATCACATAATTACCATAACTATACGGCAAAGAAAATTCTTTCAAGATTATTATTTTTTATCATAAGGTATTTGTGTGATAAACATGAAAAGGTTGTTGTGACACTTACAGCTTATCTTGGTAATATAACATCATAATGTTTATACTATCATGGCACTTATAGCTTAGCTTGGTCACATTGCATCTTAATGTTGACATGTTTTAACTAACCTAGCCCCTGACCAACGAAATTTTCATGATATCACAAGCATCACTAAGGAATTTTGTCAAGCAAATCCATGACAAGATTGTTAGTCATAATTGAGAAGTATTTATTTATAAAATTAATAAAAAACATTTATATTACTGAATGGATTGTTGAAGGTAAGGTGTTAAGGTTAGACTACACAGCAAAAACCAAAGGAGCTATGGGTTACAATTCATATTTCAGTTTCGAGGATACTGTATTGTATTTAGTTGGCAATACTGTCTCTGAAGAGATAAAGAGTTGAGGAATGACTCTCTTAATCACAATTCTTGAGTGCATCTTGTTGACAAGATTTTCAGGATACATAAAGACTTTAATCTACCTAACCTTTGTTGGTAATACTGCGCTCCAACATTGAAGGTATTTAAGCATGTAACAAAGTTAGTACTGTACTGTAATTACACTATTCTAAACCAATTAAAAAAATTATAGAACTCTGTGTAACCAAACCTACCTTACTTTATTGTTTTTATCATCAAGTTCTGATGACTTGAGACATAATTACCGGTAAGTAAAAAAAATCTCGGAGATTAAACATACTAATTATTTCAAAATAAAACTGAAATTTAGTTTATTTAGTCAGAATAAGAAAGCTGTCAAAAGCATATTTCCACTCTTGTTTTATGTGGGTCTGGATATAACTCATTAAACTACTGTACAACAAAATATAGATTCAAGTTTAATAGTGCACTTAAATTAAATGAGTGTGGTGTGTCTTTTTCACCACAAAATAATAGTCACAGATTAAGAAGACAAAAATTCTATTTGTGACTTCATCACTTACATATGTATTTAAATATTGAATTGTTTCAGGTCGCTGTTATGATGAAGGCGGTTGATTGACTACAGGTGCTCACTGCCGCTGTATTAGTATTGTGTTAAAAGGTTTAAGAACACAGATGAACGTTCAGAGCTCAATATATGCCTTACAAAAGCACATGTAAATAATTACCATAAGTAAACTTACACCTAAACTAATCTAGCCTGACCTTAACCTTCAATTCTCCAACTTGTATCATTAGTTACCCATTTAGGGTAGGGTGGACTGGGAGTGCCCCAGGATAAAAAAAATGACCCTAAGGACAGGAGGCAAGTGTTGTATCCGCTCGGCTGCAGTAAATTTAGTTTATGAGAGAGAAATCTCGTGATTTCAGGCAGATGTTGAGAGTGAACTCTTGATATTAATTTTCTTTATTTTCTTCGACAACAGGAAGGAGCTTAATAATTTCTCTAGCCTTGTTGTTCGCCTCTTCTGGCAGCTTCATCTGACTTTCTATACTCTCTAGTTCCTGCTTCACTATTTGTTGATGGCCAGGCTGGGGAAAGCAGCCACAGAAGTGCCGAAGAAGACAGAAGATGAGGAAGAGGACTGTCATATATGGCCCAGTCACGAGGTATGTAGCTAAGATGGGGTTGGCTGCCATGTCGCTGAACAATGATACAATTAATTTTAAGAAACAGTTTTAGAGAATCTAGTTAAACCCCTGACTGTCAAAATATTTCATAAACCAATGCATTATTGACAGCATTATAAACAAAACAAATGTTTTACGAAGACAATGAAGATCGCTAACGCCAGCATTTAATCATAAAACTTATGTTTACGGGGACAGAGACAACAGGCGGGACTACGACACACAAAGGCGCTGTAAGCTTTCCTGCATAAAACACAAGACCACGGATATACCACCCTCGATGCTTCAATGATTAGCATTTGGTTATATAACAGAAAGTAATAATGAAAACATAACCCCCGCCCCCCGAAAAACAAGATCAGAGCATAGAACTCGACTGCCACAATGCTCACTATGGTAACACAATGGACACTGGACAAACATATTCACTTTGTCGATACTTGCCAGCTGTGCATAAAGAAGAACTAATCGACCTCCCGACTGGCAAGTAAACTTACAATTAACAAAAAGTCTAAAGTAAATAAAGATAAAATTCTATGGTTTCGTCACCTGTAGGGGCTGGGGAAGGAGAGTTTAAGGAGGACGAAGGCCACCGCGATGTTCTGCATGCCCGTCTCAATGCTGATGGCTATGACCTGCTTCCTGGGGAGACACATAATCTTTGAGAAGATGGCGCCCATACCGAAGCCACAGTTGAGCATAAGAATACCACTCAATGCCGTCCGCCATGTCATTTGCAGCAACATCTTGTAGGAGTTGAAAATTGACATCTGCAGAAGAGGTAAACATGGGTCTAAGTCACACCTGTACACATGTTCATATATTTAATCATGTCATTTACTTATTCCATAACTTAAGAATGACAATTACAATACATTATGAATGATAACATGAGGGAGAGGGTGTGCTTTATATAATGATGGGTAACAATACAACAAAAGAGCACAAGTTCATTTCATCAATGGTATAACAAAAACTATGTTATATAGCCAATGGTAGAACGACAAATGTTTTATACTGCACTGCCATCTACCTCAACCAGTACTGTACTACTGATCATAAAGTATACCCAGGTAGAACAATAGTACTGTACTCACAGACACGACAAACAATAGTTCTCACAGATATGAGGAACAACAGTACTCACAGATATGAAGAACAGTACTCTTGGACAAGAACAATGGTATTCATGAACATGAAGAACAGTACTCATGGACATGGAGAACAGTACTCAAGGACATGGAGAACAACAATACTCATGAACAAGAGAAACAACAGTACTCACAGACACGAAGAACAGTACTCATGGACGTGAAAAACAATGGTACTCATGGACATGAAGAACAATGGTACTTATGGATATGAAGAACAATGGTAATCATGGACATGAAGAACAATGGTACTCATGGATATGAAGAACAATGATACTCATGGATATGAAGAACAGTACTCATGGATATGAAGAACAGTACTCATGGACATGAAAAACAATGGTACTCATGGACATGAAATATAATAGTACTCATGGATATGAAGAACAATGGTACTCATGGACATGAAGAAAAATAGTACTCATGACCATACCATACTCACATCCAAGAACAAAAGTACTCACCGATATGAAGAGGACAAGTGTTATGAAAACGACGGGCTTGAGAACCTTCCCTCCCAACTCCGCCCATTGTGGTCTCTTCTTTCTAGGAAAAACAAACCCAAAACAAAAATTTATTAAAATAAAGTCAAGGCAAATATAAACTCATCATAAAAATCCACAACCCTGAGAAAAAAACAAAGAAAAAAAGCAACAACATTTCATCAGCAGATGAAATAAACTGGAGTGTCTTATCCAAGGATTCTTACCATTTTCAGATTATGTTCAGAATTAATGGACAATGGGTATAATTAATGAGTTGAAGACAATCTGACTTTGAGAATCGCAACACCTTTATTGACAAATATCTGAATCTGGATGAAGAGAAAAACAAATTTGAATACACCAACTTCACCAACCCACGTTACCATGTAAGGAAGTTAGCTTAGAAACCCCTGATCTTTAAAACTATAGTTAAATAGATAGATAAGATACACAGATATTCAGTAAAATTGTTACACAAATTTACATTGATTCAGCGTGTACAGAATATATACAAGACAGGTACACAATATACATAGTGTGTGCGTGTGCAGGTCCACAATGTACACAGACAGTGCCGGTATACAAACAATGATAAACAGTATGTTGGATCGACCAAAGACAGCCACAGTGGTGAGTCAAGCCCCCTACTGCTGTAATCTTCCTCGAACACCCTCCAATGTACCCCCTCCCTTATCTGTATATCAACAAGATAATATGAAGAAGAATAGATTTTTAGGATCTGTTGCTTTTTTATTGTCATGTCCACTCCTGTCTCTCTCTTTTATATTGGGTGGATCAAGGGCATAGAAACCCCAAAAGAAGAATCAAATTTTATTTAAAAATCTTCAATAAACATGGAAAGAAAAAGAAAAAGGACTTGGCCAATAAAGGAAAATAAAAATAATAAACTTTGTGAAATCTGTAAGATGACGACCTCAAATTTCATCCAGTGCAAAAAAAAAAAATTGGATTTCAACTGATGACTAAACACCCTAATGCAAAGTCTAACCTAACCACCCTAATGCTAACCTAACCTAACCACCCTAATACTAACCTAACCTAACTAACCACCCTAACGCTAACTAACTTAACTTCATCACCCAAGTTAACGTTAGGGTTGTTGAACATCAGTTGAAGTAAACTAGATGTCTAATCTGCAAGTGATCCATACAAACTAAAAATAATGAAACACAAAACTGAATCGTATATACTGTACCTGATTGTTATGCCGATGCCTACAGGGATGGTGAGGCTGAAGAGGGAGATTAGCATGTTAGAGTAAGGGATCTTTAGGTGAGAGTTTTCTTCCAGCATCTTATTCCCCAGTGTAAACATCCACAGAGGCATCATCCCTGAAGTGGAACATACATAAGTCTAACCTCGTCTACATATTTAACTTTTTGACAAAACAACCAAACAAAATCGATATGACACAGTAAATTCTTCAAAAAAATTAAATTATATCACCCAACTCACTCTTGCATCACCCAGCTGACTCTTGTACCACCCAGCTTACTCTTACATCACCCAGCTTACCCTAGCATCACCCAGCTTACTCTGACATCATCCATGTAACTCAATTACATCAACTTTCTTCTGTGTACCTCTCTCCCTTGGACAGTATCTGCCACAAGGCCGAATTAAAGGCAGGACACACAGGGTAGCTGCCCAGGGCCCCCCCAAGATGTTAAGAATAAAAATAAATTAGACAAAAAAATATATATAAAAAATAGAAAAATGAAAAGAGATCTTTTTTAAATATATAGTTTATGACTATCAAATCTAGAGGGAGTGAATGATGGGTAATAACATACAGAAATTCTAAATATATCAAAAGGTACCCTAAAATGAAACCTTGCCCAGGGCTACATTTTTCGTAATTTTTGCCCTGACCTTGGTACGTGTCACTATTATCTACAGGAATTAAACATACGTAGCATATCTTGAAAAAGTAATCAGGATAAATTATACCCACTTGCAGCTGGAGTGCATTTCAACAAAATTTCCCCTTTTTCCACTTTGAAATTCTAAGTCCATTTTTCAAACAGTGAAAGTGAACCAAATTCAACCTAAACTTACCTAATTTACCCCAAAAATATTATTACCTGTATATCATTTAATGAAATCTGGTAAGTAACCTAACTTACGATTTTAAATGAAGCACTTCAGAAGTCTCATATTGTAGACAAGTAATTGCCTTATTTTTTATGTGATAACTTAACAAAGAGTTCTTCCTTATTTTTAATATAGTATACCGGTATATATATTTGGGTTTCAAAATGTTTAAATATACTAAAATAATGAAAAAAATATATATACAGCACAAGGGGGTATACAAAAACTGACAATGACTACATTCACATATAATCATAATAAAAATAATAATAATAATACAGTCGGCCCTTAACATACGCGGGTTTAGCATACACGGATTGGCAAATACGCGGATTGCCCCGCCGGAGGAATATTCTGTACATTGAAGTAATTGAAGTACATTCAAATCGCGCGCGGCACCGAACACCGCCCGCTCCCGCAACCTCACACACACACACGCATAGCTCTCCCTCACTCAGTCAGTCTCGCTGTAACCACGCTTGTGTTGACCCTCAGCATTGTAGTTGTAAAAATATTACATTTCCGTGAATGTATTACAGTGAACCCTCACTTTACGCGGTTAATTCAACCCACGGCGGCACGTGTAAAGTGAACAACATAACATATGGGATTAATTGAAATAGAGACCGGGCCGACCCCCAAACTCCACTTTTTCAGACACAATACCTACGTTGTAGTAAAAATAACTTCTTAATTTTATGATGGTATGCACACACAATTAATAATTACGAGAAATTTCAATAATATTAGGTTTTTTAACACTTACATTAGTAGAAAAGATGGCTGGGCACACGGGGATGGGGGGTTGGTTCCGAGGCAGAGGGCAGATTATTGGCCCTCACCTGTATCACTTGTATCAATTGTATCGCTGTCCACCACAGAGGCTTGCAGGGCCTCTTTGTCAAACCCCTCAAAGTCCATATAAGTCCATATCCTCACTATAATTATCACTATCACTGACTTGGGCCGGCTGTGGTGGGTGGCAGGTGAAGAACTCGGTAATGTTTTGATGACTGGGTGACCTTGTGCGCACCCTCTTACGCCACTCTCCGCGTAAAAGGGTACACACACTGCGGAAAGTGAGCATTCCGGTTTCGGCAGGGTACCGCGTAAACGTGGAAACGTGTAATGTGGGACCGCGTAAAGCGAGGGTTGACCGTATATCAAGCACAGTATGAATAGAATATCGCTAATATAACAGTATTTTAACCGAAAACTATTAAAAAAATGAGTAACATATCTTGAACATTGGAAGGTTAGGTAAAGTCCTTTGTTTCCATGTAGTTTATCCTAATTTACATTGAAATACATCACGTTTCAGCAAAACTACTATTCATTTCTGAGAATATGGAAATGTATTATTTTTGCTGAAATGACGTACGTATTACAGTGGAAAGTGGGATAAAATCGTGACGAAAACAATGACTTGCTTTCTTTCGTTCAACAGTTGTTACCGTAATCGCTTTTTGAAAGGTTTTCAGTTAAAAAACTGTTGTATTACAATAATATTCTATCCTAATTCACTTGTGATGCAACAGTTTTTTTAACTGAAAACCATACGAAAAGCGATTACGGTAACATCTTTTGAACGAAAGAAAGCAAGTCATTGTTTTCGTCACGATTTTATTCCACTTTCCACTGTAATACGTACGTCATTTCAGCAAAAATATTACATTTCCGTGAATGTAGTATATCAAGCACAGTATGAATAGAATATCATTGTAATATAACAGTATTTTAACCGAAAACTATTAAAAAACGAGTAACATCTCTTGAACATCGGAAGGTTAGGTAAAGTCTTTTGTTTTCATCATGTATTTTATCCTATTTTACATTGAAATACATCACGTTTCAGCAAAACTACTATTTATTTCTGAGAATATATTCATTCAGGCGCAGTTTAGGTAAAATATACATGTGATGTAACATTTTAACTGAAAATGATTCGAAAAACACGTACCCTCTAGCCCTGTTCAAGGAGAAGACTGGGAGGAGCTGTTTGGTGCTTAAGACGATGACAAGGAAAATGATTTTGATGGATTTTAATGAAAATATTCAGAAATATGGTATCTTAGTATTTATTCAAGTGAATTAGGATAGAATATTATTGTAATACAACAGTAGTGACGATGTGGAGGAGGCGGAGGGATAGAGCGGGGAGGAGTGGTGACTGGCGGGAGCAGGGACGAGTGGAGATGCCAGCCAGTACATTACGGGTGTACAGTATTAATTGTTTTTATAGCTCTTTTTGCATTTTAATATTAAATACTGTACATTACGTTTCAACAAAACTACTATTTATTTCTGAGAACATGGAAATGTAATATTTTTGCTGAAATGACGTACGTATTACAGTGGAAAGTGGGATAAAATTGTGACGAAAGCAATGACTTTCGCTTTCTTTCGTTCAAAAGATGTTACCGTAATCGTTTTTCGAATGGTTTTCAGTTGTGGGATTATGAGGCTAATGATAGGATAGAATATTATTGTAATACAGTACGGTACAACAGTTTTTTAACTGAAAACCATTCGAAAAGCGATTACGGTAAAATCTTTTGAACAACGAAAGAAAGCGAAAGTCATTGTTTTCGTCATGATTTTATCCCACTTTCCACTGTAATATGTACGTCATTTCAGCCAAAATATTACATTTCCATATTTATTTCTGAGAATATATTCATTCAGTCACAGTTAAGGTAAAATATACTTGTGATGTATGTAATATTTTAATGAAAATACGGTATCGTAGTTTTCTTTTGTTTCAAATTTAATTAACAAAGATTGATGTTTCAAATGTAATGAACAAAAATTTATGTACAGTATCTATAAATAAACTTTAAAAAATGAATACTTTATGTTTTACATCGTCCTGTGCATACCATACCATGCATTTGGCTACTTTGGGCTTGCTATGATGACGCAAGAGATCTGCCCTAGCAACTGTACCGACACTCACAGCTGGTGGTGCGTTGGTGCGTCGTTTCCATTGTTTACTGGTAGTTACTGGTAAATATTTTTCAACCTAACGAAACTATTACCCATTTAGAGGTCGACCCCCAATTTTTTGCCAAATAATTTGGTCTTAAAAACTCGAACTACACACAGGTATATACGGTAAATAAGGACATGGGGGGGGGGGGGCAGGGTTTTTTTTGGGGGGGAGCAAAAGTACACGGATTTTTAACATTCACGGGTATCTCTGTTACCTAACCCCCGCGTATGTTAAGGGCCGACTGTAATAATAATAATAATAATAATAATAATAATAATAATAATAATAATAATATCAGTAAAGTTATTATAAAGGTTTACAATTGGATAAGCAGCTTGTTTATAAACTATGCAGTTACACAGTTTAGCATGAATATAATAATGTAGGTATAGTACTACTGTGCAGTATATCGTGCCTGTAGGCCGTAGAGTACTACTGTACAGTATACAGGTTCTTGTGTGCCAAGACAGTGCAAGTAAACAACAATGGTAAACATTAAGGCAAATTAACCAAGGATAGCCAACAAAGCTGTCAGGTGCTTATTTATGACAATATCTATGAAGATCTTGATCACTAGCAACTCATCTTGTATATCAAGCAGTGGAAAATATACATGGGTGTTGGTGGTACAGTGGTAATGCACGTAACTCTCACCAACAGTTAAGGGTTCAAGCCTTGGCCTGAACACACATGAGAAGGATGCTATCCAGTGTGACCCTATCAAACATCACATGTTTCACGGTCCCTGGTTTCCTCCTGTACCTACATTGGATAGAGCGCCCAAATGGCTAGTAAGCTGATAAGTGGCAAAAAGGATATTAAATATATACAGTATACGAGTGTATACATATATATATATATATAAATATACAGTCATGCGCCGGTTAACGTCCGACCGAACAACGTCTGATCGCCTAACACAAAGGATAGCACAGTCTAAATAAATGTTACATTCATATCTAATAATGAAATCATACAGTAAATGTAACACTTTACCTTGAAAAAATATGAATGTAACTTGATGGGGGAGAAGGGTGATTTTGAGGTTGATAACGTCGAGCTTCTCTTCAAGTGTTATATCCTTTCTTTTACGATCATCACCAGGAATTCGATCACCAGAACGCTTCTTGGAGATATTCTTCTTTACCATATTCACAGTTAATACCACAAAATTGGCGAAATAGTAAACAAAAATCGTGTTACAGCAAACGAGTTCGCGTTATACAAATATCGTTCCTCTATTCATAAATCGCGTTAGAGCAAATTCGCGTTATAAAAACACGCGTTATAGCAGAACTCACTGTATATATAAAAGTAACCTGGAAAAATAATAGGCAAATTGTAATTCCTTATGGTAAATATGGTCTATATTCGAGATAAGAAAGTTTATCAAATACAAAAGCAATTCTCTGAAACCTGAACTCATTATACAGCTTAAGTAACATAAATCATTTAAAATCTAATCACATTTAGTTAAGTATCAGCCTATTTAACTACTTCGCTTTAGGGATGCCACTCGTGATACTTTACTTGGCTAACGTCAGAAATTTTCATTCAGCTCACAGAGGAGCTCATACACAAGTGGTTAAACAAGCATTAGAGAGAGATGGATCATATTTTGTATATCACAAAAAAGATCACTTGAAAATTAGCTCCCATTTTATTTCACCTTAAGATTAACCACCCCAATGATAATCAAGCCTAACCTAACATAACATGTAATTCAACCTAAGCTAACCTAACCAATGGTGGTGTTTGGGTGTTTAATCATCCGATGAAATAAGCTGTGGAAGTGGTGAAACCAAAAAGATAAATACCTGTATACAGTACTAACCTAATGCGGCAAGCATGGAGATGGCGGTCATGGTGACGGAGAGGTTGAGATCAGCATCTACCATAAGTGTCCAGAAGTTAGAGCTGGATCCCCCAGGGCTACATCCGAGTGTAAACAAACCCAGGCGTGGAAGTGGATCCTTCAGCAGGAACAAACCTAGTACATACGTTATCTGCAGGGAAATAACAGGTGTATTTTTTATGTTAAAAGTACAGTATTAATGTGCTTTGACAACAACAGTACTGTATATTATTTAAGTACATACAATAGTCTAAATCATTTTACACCTGTACACTAGTCATCAACAATTTAGATTAAAAGTACCGGTAATATCAAATATAGTTAGATATCTACCTATGATGTACAATAATATTGTAGATCATTGTAAAAGCTGTGAGTGTGGCCAACTCTTTAACTTCATTATTATACAACCTATGATAATGTGGGGGCCTGTGGTGTCTGATAACTGACTGAGGTACTGTAGTTATGATATTAAACAAGGAATTCGCACTGAACGACTCCTGTTAGCGTGTAGTACTGTACAAGGAACAATATTTCTGGTATAATATCATGTTTAATAGGGATAATAACAATAATATCTTTTTCTCAATACAAGGGTAATCAAAAATGGTTTGTATGTAACAATGATCACACAGAAAATTGCAAGCTAAATTATAAATGAATACCTTAATTGTTAACCTAACCTAACACATAATGGGGAGGCATGAAGGTGAACTAGGTCAAGTTAAACCTACCAGAGGCATGAAGGTAAACTGGGAAAGGAAGCCACAGACAGGACCAATAGGTTTCTTCAGAACCACAAAGATGGCATTCAGGTCCAGTTGAGTTCCCATGATGACATTGATTATCACTACTATTGAAGATGCAGCGATGATGAAGAAAGTGTCGAACACCTTGCTCTTGCGGTCTATTGTGATCTGCAGCCATAGTAGATGGTCATGAATATAAATATTAAAAAGTGGTAAAGGAAACTGTGGATACACTGTATGTGTATATATGCACTGTACCTAAACAAACAAACCTGAAATATAGGAGCTAAGAAAATTATTAATGAATTCGCATAAGGAAACCAGTTGAAACATTAAATAAAGAAATGTACAGAACAGAGTAAACAAGATACCGGTAATATTTTCCATAAAAAAAAATTTGCTGACTGTGTGAACAATATAGTTCCCCATAAACCTGTTAGTCTCTATTTCCTTCTGATACACAATTACCTGTTTTTTTTTTAACCTGTTGATGTTACTGTAATAAGATAAAATTTTACTACCAATACTACCAATCTACTCAGCAAGAATGTCATAGTGTTTTAGGACTAATAGGGAGACAGAGAGAGATAGAGAGACCTAACATTAAAGAAGCCCCAAGACAGAACATGATAGAATCTCAGTCACATCTGACACAGTCACACAGACAGTGTAGGCATACAAACAAAGTACACAAACAGTGCAGGTATAAAAAGATGGTAAAGAATAAGTCGACTTGATTAAGGACAGGCCAAGCCTTGAGCTGTTATAGTCTTATTTCTTTTGGTGTACTTGTTAGGTTGAGAAGCCTTGTCAATAACAATAAAACTACGAAAAATTATTTATAAATATATGAGTAAATGTAATAAGTACAGTGATCCCTCGGTTAACGAGATTTCGGTTAACGAATTACCTTCCATAAGATTTTTAACTTCGGTTAACGAGCAATCCCTCGATTAGCGAGTTTTTTACGAGCCGACCTCAATATGTTTTCGCTTGCATTTGGCGGTCTACCAGCTGTAGTATTAGTCCGCCAATACAGTAATCGGTTTTAGGGTTTAAATTCCTTACTATTTTAGAAAATATCAAAAAGTTTATACTATTCAATAATTTTAAAAGTATAAAATTAAATTTTTTAGTCATTTTAACAATTATTGAACATAATTGAAGGTAAGGAAACTAGTTTCATGCGCGCCATCCAGCCTGGCAACACACCAAACAGGCGCCAGTCTCTCTGTCTTTTCAGTGGAGGTAACATCCTGCTTGAGACTCTGTTCAACTAAATGCTTTTTTTCTGTGTTTGCAAGCAAATTATTGGTCATTTTGAAATTTATTTTACATATTGACAATATATAAAGCAGTGCAGTGTTGATTTAAAGAAAATAATCTTGAATTACACCAGAGAGCTAAAATTTTATGGGTGAAATGACACCATGGGGTGACTTCTCTTCCACCCCAATGCCCTCTCTTCTTCCTTCTCCTCCACCCCCATTCTAATACCCATCATCATCATCATCATCATCCCGGAGCCTTCTACATACACACCTCAAAGTAAGTGCACTTTTCCACCGTTTTTGTTGAATTTAGGCAATTTTCGGTGAGCTGGAACCAATTACCCAAAAACCCATTAAAACAATGGTTTCGGTTATCGAGTTTTTCGGTTAACGAGCAACCTGCTGGAACGAATTGTGCTCGTTAACCGAGGGACCACTGTACAAGACTGCATTTAAAACTATCACAGACTGGTGGATCACTTCCAAAATAAAACATTTATTAGTTAATAATACAGATTATCCTTCTCTTCTCTGGATGTAGTTTCATCTTCCGTGTATTTCTTAATTTTAATGTTAATAATTTGACACAATTATTGGATTCAATATGCTTAGGCAACTAATTACATTTCTTTATAGCTGTGAAGATGGATGTGCTTTTACACATGACAACAAAATTGCAAGTTTCCTCCAGGTATTTAGGTTTCCTCCGATACAGTACTAACACAGAACACTAAAGTTCATGACATACAGTAGTAACAAAGAATATACCAGCCACCTGAACAGCTAGTAATTTGTCAAGTGGTGAAATGATAAATAAAAAAACTATGTTCATTGCCCCTTGTACCTTGCTTATTTATATCCTTAATCCTTACCAAGTTTGATAAAAGATATCCTGGACACAGACCACAAACAAACTTCAAAGAATGATTCAGCCTCAACTGTTTCACCTTATTACCTTACATCATGACAGAGAGACCTTGTTTTGAATAATTTATAGTTTGGACTTTTAGATTTCGTTGAGCTCCTCTTGTTGTCGTGCAAAGGATTTTTCACATTTAGCTTTGTCTGATAAAATAATTACTAAATAGTTCCACACTAAAGTGTTGTTGTACAATTACAGGTACTTACTAACAAGTTGTCCCTCAGTAAAGAAGTTTTGGACAACTACAGGTACTTACTAACAAGTTGTCCCTCAGTAAAGTGTTGTTGCAAACTACAGGTACTTACCAACATGTCATCCCTCAGTAAAGTGTTGTTGGACAAGTGAAGGAGATGGTAGTTGGTGGTGAGGTAGAAGGACAGCTTGGTGAGCCCCCAGTAGTAGCCGGAGAAGGTGAGGCTCTTGTTGACATGATCACACACCTCCTCCACCGTCAAGTGTATGCTCCTGTTGACAAAGTCCAGCTTCCAATCCTCATCAGGTACGACCGTCACCACCAGCTGAGCATTCGTCAGGTCCTGCCCACCACTACAGTAAGCGTCACTGGCGTTGAATCCCAGAGACAGTGTGAGGTGGTGGAGGGTGTCCTCCGGTACTATCCACATGCCACTCGGGAAGGTCTCCAGGTAAACACCTTCTACATCATCGCCTGCTGCACCACTCAGCCAACCCCACATCACCATCAAACACCACAGCCTCAACATTTGGCAGTGTACTGATTAAAGTATAGAAGCAAGTGAAGTTATACAAAAAAGAACTGCAACACCAACAAAGAAAAAGTAAAATTTGACCTTCTTAACCAGTTCACTACCTACAAATCTTGCTTTTAATGTTTCACCAAACGTTTAATGTAGTGTCAAAGAGCATGCACTACAATGTCTTAATACATCTCGGACCCAGCATTGTCACCGTAAACAGTTGTTAAGGTCAGAGACACTATCTTATTATTGTACCTACTCTATCTAACCAAGAAGTGAATATCAGCCTGACTTTCACCAGCTACTTGCCAGGAGTTCCATCTCTCCTTATCTTAGATTCATATATTGTGATCAGATATCAATCTTATCTTAAAAGGTCATACACCAAGAACTAGTGGCCAGAGATGACATCTTTACATCACTCTGTACTGTACTCATTTACGACACCAAGGGAGAGGATTATTAAATTTCTCTGTAAGATTAAGTCTTTATCTATAACACAATAAGATAAAGATAAGCCACTCAAAAGTTTAAAGGTGGTGATAAACTGATAATACATTTGAAGTGGTAAGGAACGCATCTTCCCGTGGAAAGAACACTCTTGTGTATCGTGATGACGCCTCAGTCCGACTCATCTTATTAGCCTAGTTATTGTTCGCGTTACCCGTTGAAGTACTGGAATGCATTATAATATCTGCATCATTTAGTAGTGGAGACAAGCATCACAGATTACTCCCATATTCATATTAATTCTTGCCAATTCCATCTATCATTTAATACAGTAACACAATTTTGATAGTGTACAATGTTAATTAAGGCAAAATTTATGGGTGTGAGATTACCACCCCAGACAGCTAAGTCATTTATTAACCATGATCTTTGGGTTTAATTCATGAAAAAAAAATACATGTACAGTTCTAAATATTACACATTAGCCAGGGTACCTGGGTTATCATGGGATGCAGAACTGCAGTAATTTTTTTTACAACATGTTTTCATCCAATTTTAAAGTTACAGTATGAATAAAATGTGTGTACAATTAAATGCCAGGTAGCGAAGTGTCCTCCTAATATTACGTATTTAAGTAATTATTAGATGTTTCAATTGCCTGTATGTTGGCCTGGCAAGTTAATGCTAGGCATTTACATACCTAGATATAAAGCTAAACGTCACATTCTGGATATCACAAAAACTGTTTTTCAGAATTTTTTTTTTTTTTTTAACACTGTTGTACTTGTATGACACCAAAAACCTATACAAGTTGGAAAATTAAGTACCTGTACAGTATATTAAGAAATCTAATTTTCAACAGCTTCATGGTATAATTAAACTAACTTAACCTGATAAACTTAACATAACTGTTGCAACAATAAGCTAATCACCAATATGTTCTATTACATAAATATCAAAAGTAAAATGCACTGAGAGTTTTAATGTTATGTCATGTTGGTTATGTAATCTGTCACAAGTATGTGTTGTAATGTACCCTCTTCATACAGTATCTGAGGGCTGCTCACTCAAGGCTATTGGGTTGTCTATATCAGTTTTCAAGATTTATCATAACACCTCATAGCAATCTACTATATCAAACAGGGAGGTACTACCACCTAGGAAGAAAGATATTGGAAGCATAATGTTTGTCTAATGGTAGACCCTGCTGTCATATGGCAATTGCAGGGTATCAATTGTTTCTCTTACTCCTCACTCTTGATTTTTTTTTCCATTTTTGTATTTTTTTTATAGATCTTTATTATTACAGGTATTATTATTTTTTTAAATTACATTTTTATTTATTTTATTAATTATTATTATTACCATATTATATATTATTATATTAAATTATTATAATTTTTTCCTCAGGCCCTGATGTAGATCAGTGACTGTGCCGGGGTGGACTAATCCCATAAAGAAGAAGAAAAAAAAAAGCAAACAATATCACTCTGTTATGTACAGTACAGGTACTGTACTGTACTTTCTGAGTCTAAACTATGCATCTCAAATGGACAAACACTCTCCCATTACATTGAGGTTGTGGTTTCGAGCGACAACTTATATAGTTTCATTACATGTAACAATAAATGCAACAGTCGAGCTTACAACTTGGCGACGTAGTTATAGCTCACCCCCTCCATACACATTCAGTTCCCACACATACACACCCATGCTCTTCATTTTTCTTATTTTATTGTTTATACAGACAGTGGAATCAGTGTTAATGAAGTCAGTTTTTCTGAGACATGAATTTGCAAAGTCAAACTGTAGCACTGCATTGTAGGATTAATTGAGGTATCTTACGAGTGAGGTCCAACTAACCGGAAAATCTCTTTATCTGGCACCTTTCAATCCCCATAGGTGCTGGGTAACCGGGATTCTACTGTAGTCCCTTTATTCATACCAAAGGAAATTAAAACTTTAAAAACTGTTACAGTATTATTTTTTATTTAAATGAGTCTGGGAACTGTATTCTTATGTCATTTATACTGTAAATGTATTTAAATATAACTCCCATGAACCTCCCCAAAACAAAATTAGAGATAAAAAGCAAAATACAGGTGAAGTGGCAACATTAGTAATGAATCCCCCTTAGATTTAAAAAAAATCAGAATTGGGTTTGCTTTTTGGTATATCTGTAACAGCTAGAATTGCTATCATGACAAAATATCTGAAATCACTGACCAAATTCATACATGTTTAGATATTTTGGATCCTCTGGGTAATTCAACAATGTTAGGGCCTCATAATTTTCAAATTAGAAGGGTTCACGTGCACAGCATTCTTTTTTACACTATATCTCAGTGATAAGAGCATTTCTATTTAAAAACTAGCCTAAGTGAATGCAATCATGATTCTGTATTACACAATTAAAATGCTATTAAGTAATGGGGAACTAAGGGTTAAGTCCAAAGACCTCCATGATATGAGGCATTATGGATATTTAGTGACAACTTCAACATGTATATGATAATCCATTTTCTGTGGGAACACTATCTCCAGAGTCTGTAGAAGAGAATGTAAATGAGGGCTATAGTGGTTAAAATACACTTAAATAATAAAGCACGTGAAACACAGTCTTAAAAATTATGTGCGGTGTTTACTATTTATGAGAGAGAAAGAAGGAAAGTGTGGTTGTGATGTAAGGCCCAATCATTGCACTGATGGTCCCAGCCACCCCACAGGTTATCACTGATATCCACCCAGCAAACAACAAGACCCCAGCACTTACTCAATAAACACCCCTTCAAATACAAAATTTTCCAATACAGATGATGACTTGGCATCTTGAGATATTGTTCATTCTCTTCTAGAAACTCTGGAGATATTACCACAGAAAATTTGGTTTTGCATACATGTTGGTCATCACTAGTATCCACAACCCTTTATATGATATCAACTGTATACAGAAACACAAAATTAACCTTAAAAGTCTTTACTAATTGAGAAATTTATAATTTATTTGACTTATATTGTAGTGCCTTTCTTCATCAAGTAATAGAAAATATGAATTGTACATTGAAATGAATTAGTAGACATAAAAAGCCTTATTAGCAATCAGACAATTTCTTTTACCACATAAAGCTTTTACTCTCATTTGCTGTGTTCAGTCAGCCAATTGGGTGGAGGTCAATGTTACAAAATCGAATTGGAGAATCCTCAAGAATTCTTCAAAACTGCCATAACCATAACATCATAAAAATTATGATATGAAAGAATTTATGAAAACTTATAGCAACAGTCTGTACCATTAAACTTAAAATGTTATAAGAAGAAGTTATTTGTAATAATCAACAGTGAACATTGGCTTCCAGCTTTTTTCTATTAAGAATATAAACATGAATATTTCTCATCACTGTGAGTGTAGTGATTCACCATGTACTTAATTACAACTTCAACTTGTCCTTCCAAGAACATTGCAGTGAACTATTACATAAAAATATGAGCAAATTCAGTCTCAACACAAAATGTGGTAACTGCTTAGCTTGGCTGGCAACAGTTTGGCTGAATTGTTTCCCTCTTAATACAGTTACGGAATCCTTCAGATGTCACTTAGTGGCTAGAAAAGATGGGTATATTTGTGTTACATCTTCATACCAACGTTTTTCTAGCGTGCGCGCGTGTATGTGTGATAGGTTTTCCGATGATAATTTGAAACAGTTGTACATATACGTACTGTATATACAGTATACTGTACTGTATGTAAAATGATATGAGACACTTCTATTTTGTTCTTTTGTCCTTAACATTATTGTATGATGTTAAGGATGAAATAATGGTTAATAATGAAGCAGCAAAATACCATAAACTGTAGTGGTGAAATGTATTGGAAACTGATGTCTGTACGATAAAACAAGCATATGTACTGTACCTAGCTACCGGGTAGCTTGGAGATGATGAGAGTGGCGTCAGATGCCTGTCTTGGTCCCTAGAACTTTGGTTATGCTATGTCGAATATATTTTTAGCTGAAAAATATAGGTTGTGTACTTTCCAAATACTGTATACAGTAGCAGGGAAATATACTAAATTTATTGAAGATGGGAAGCAATTGTTCTCTACATTATAATAAATTTACATTTGCCAATATGTTATGTAGGGTTTACCTGTTCTGAGAATTATACTTTACTAACGAGCTAATTATGTTGAATAAAAAACAAATGTTGCAATATACTGTACACTGAAAAGAAATGAATATTATGTGTGGCAGAATTTAGTAGCATGAGATAAATTTTTGCAAAAGAGGAAGTTAATGCAATGCCAGTACAGTACTGGTAAATTTTTTTCTGAGAAATGACACCAGGTTACAATGTACAGTACTGTATTTTGTGATTTGCAACATAAGGTAATTTTCTATTTCATTATTTGTTTCACTTGCAAACCCTTTCCCTTGACTGGTGCAGGGCAGATGGAATCACAAGCAATACAAACTGTAACAGATATATTTTGCTATGGTGCGCCCCTTCCACAGAATAGCTCCAATATTTTAAATTGAATAAAAATATCTGATAAAGCCCTCAGGTAACGGAAAAACAATGAAAGAGTAAATGAAGTGATGGATTGAGATAAAATATTGTGTGTGAATGAACTGACTAGTAGAAAGTAAAGTCTGATGTAATATATTACAATTCTAGTACAGCCAATCCAAAACGTACAGACCCCCCAGGTGTCCGAAAGAATATGAAACATCGGGCAAAGACCAACCCAACTTAACTGATGCATGAAGTGTCTAAGGTTATTGCTCGCTTTCTATTCCACCGGATTCTGGGGTCTCGATACTTCTTGGACTGGCCATACAGCCTAATTTACATTGTGTTATACCTGTAAAATCTTTATCATGATCTCTTGAATAAAACATCTGACTTGGTACAATGAAAGGATATATTATTGGTGAGAGATGAGTAAGAGTGAGTAAATGATAGAGGCTGTGTAGTTACATGGGCCAATAAATAAAATTTTTACTTTAAACATTTGCACAGGTCAAAAGATAATGTGTCTGGTTATAATGATGCTCTGGTTCTTTAGACTGAACTCAGTGAGGCAAAGTTACCTGAACATATACATCAGTCAACTAAACCTCGATGTAGAATTATCTTCTTAGTCTCATTAGTCTTGGTCTAAGCTTGCTGGACACCACAGTCTGGAAGCTCTCCAAACAGTGTCTTGTAATGTTCAACATAGACATCACAATGTTCACCTGCAAAAGGCACACATTACACATTTATTAAACAAGAAAGAATTGAATTGTTCATCATCTCAGCAGAGACAGCACAGAACTCCTGGGAACCATGATGTTCAATTCTTAATGTTAACCTGTCACTATGCTTGAAATATGGTAAAAGAGAGTGAGTCTATTAGCTGCTGATACAGTGAATTGAAAAAATTATGAATCCTGCTGGGATGATCCAAATCTGTGGATATATTATGCATTCAGCCTTCTCATTTTTAATATGCTAGTGGATAAGATGGCACTTATTGTACTTTTCAACTTATCAATCAATTTAACTGTGAGATGGAAAGCATTTCAGAGTATCTGTAATGCTTATACCTACAATTGGAGTGCATACACACAATTAATTTTCATCTCAGAAGAAATTGGCAACTACACAGTCCTAAAATATCTTAATTCATAATACGGTACACCTGTATTTGCAACCCCTGTACTCCAGCTGGGGAAGGATTCCTATACAGCATTTCCCTACAACATAGTGTTCATCTCTTGACCCTTGCTTTAAAAGTAAATGAGAAACCTGTTAGACTAAAGACCATAATCAAATCTGTTTTCGGTAAAACAGCTTTTAGACTACAGTACAGCAAGTCATGATCAAATGTCATAAAGTTTAAAAGAATGGGGGAGTGTTGTTGTACCTTTAGCAAAAGCTGAACTGCCCCGAAGTCTTGTGTTGCGAAGTACAAAAAAAGTAAAGGTGGAGTAGAACACCTGCCGGTCACCACTCACCATGGCAGCCTCCAAAAACTTACGAGCTGACACAGACTCTCCCAGCCCTACACTTCGGGCATATCTATTGAGGTTAACAAATTAAAAATGAAATATTAAACTCATAAACATACATCTATCATATAATACTGCATATTGATGATACAGCATACTGTAGTTAAATTGCAACATTCAAGACAGGACCGAAAATTTTGAGAGGGAACTTACACATACGAGGTTACAAGTGAATGAGGGGCAGTTGTTTCAGGCAATAATTTCATGACACCTACTTGAATGAACAATAAACCTATATCTACATGGAAAATAAATTATGCACTTAAAAACCTAGATGCCCATCGAGAGTACTGTACAGTAATTCTGTGGATCTATTACTGTCATTCATGCTGGTCTAGGCACCCAAAGAATTATGTTGCAAGCTACATTTGAACACCACAAATTTTCTAATTTTGCACCTGCCTGTAATTGAGTACAGTATACAGGAACCTAATACCAAGACATGGTTTCTTAAGGCATGATTCATCAATACCATCATAACCAATTTACAGTTATGTTTCAGGCTTCTGTGGGTTAACTATGATTACCTGATGGCATGGTGCCCTGGTTGCCATGAGACAAATTTGAAAAAAGTTTTACAGCTGGATGACCTTCCTATTGTCAACCCACTTTTGCAGAGTGAGAACTGGACATTAAATGTATGACTTCCAGGGTAATCAAAGATTACCTGCCTACCTAACACAAAGTAAATGAAACTTTACATTGGATTATGAAAAGAAAATATCATTGTTATTACGAGTTCACAGAAGAGAAGAGTAAAAACTAAAACACACACACACACACACACACAAAAAACAGTGGTATAACTGCTGTTGAACTAAACTAATTTTGCCCATTGAATTTAATAATCCTGATGGCCAACCATTGTATCAGGAGAGCACGAATGTAAACCCAAAACCCACCAGGTTTCCTTTGTACTGTTGTACTGTACTTTCATGCATCCAATGCAGGGACAGATCCAGGAATATCAAAAGGGGGTGTCCAAGAAGCTGTGGATGGTGAGCAAAGCAAGCCCAACCAGCTTTGGGTGGGGGCATTGTAAGCCCCCCCCAGAATTTATTTTTAAATCTGACCAATATCATGAGCAGTTTTAGGCCATTTTGAAGCCATGTGCATTTGATATTAGGAGATATTCTGAAGTCAATATTAATTACTTTTTACTATACAAAAATGCCTGAGTACAACCCAGGAAAGCCTTCAAAAAAGACGGTTCTACTAACAACAATTCATATTTAAGACCCTGGTTAATTTAGGACCCAATTCAATTTACACTGTTATTTTCTTCGTGTTTACGACAAAAATTGAATAAAAAATAATATAAAATTCCATTCCATTTATATAATAACTAAATCCCGATATGTATTAAAAAAAAAAAAAAAACGCGCCTAGTACACGGAGGCTGCCAAGCTTGTGAGTGGTGACGCCAGCATCACTAGTATAAACAGTCGCAGCTTGGCGGGCCCTTTGTTTTCACGCATCTGAACAGGAGAAGGAGAAAAGCTTTCTCAGGTTTCTTATGGTATTTTTGGGTCCCTATTCAACATGAGCAAGAGAGCAAGTGATGGCAGTGCTGGTTCAAAAGCTAAAAGAAAGTGCATAAGCTTAGCTGTGAAACTAGATGTGTTAAAATGATATGAAAAAGGTGAGAAGTCTTTGGATATTATATGGAGCAAGTAATGAACATATTTTTGAAGTGGATCCATTTACAGAACGAAGCATTAAAATTAACAGGGGCGTGAAAAACTCATTTGACCCCTACATAAAGATGTATAATGAGAAAAGAAAGCAGCTGTGCAAGGTTCTAAATTATCAACTTCAGCTATACCATCAAATTCAGCAGCAGCTTCAGCAACAATTACAGGTTCAGTAATAGTTTCAGCAACAGCTATGATACCTTTATGGAAAGCTACAGCTTCAGCCAGAGTTGAGCATCATTCAATGGCTGTCCTTATGTTTTCGACTTTACCACTATTGGTGAGTAGAATTTTTGTTTTACATTTGTAAGCATTATTTAAAACATATATGATCAGTAATAAGTGGTGCTTTCATATTCTTATGTAGAGAAATGACGATATGTTTTCACAAGTACACATTTGCATACGTTGGAGTTGCACAGTCTCGCTTTTAAATAACATTACTTAAAACATACATTAATTTTATTACAGCTACAACCAGGGTCTTATTTTCTTCAGTTTCAGATGGATAACTGACATTATGGGCGTAAACACTGACAACAACAATGGTGTCCCATCTCCTCTTGTGTGACCAATAAAATACATTAGGCGCGAATTTTAAAATATGATGCACCAGATTGACTCGTGCAAAATAGGAAAGATTCGCTTTAAATTAAAACATTGTCCTTAATTGTGGGTGTTGCTTTAAATCAATAATCTTAAATTGAATCGCTTTAAATCGACATTCTACTGTACTGCCAGTAAGATGTTTATGGTCAGTGACATGGCATGACTCGAGTGCTATTAGATAAAAAATAATAACTGAGAGTTCAAAAAGAAATAAAATGCCTATAACTAACCTGAGTGCTGGTGTGACCTGATGCTGTGAGAGTAACACTTCAATAATTTCATCATGGGCCGTGTTAAGCCGACACAACATGTCCAAGCTCAGCTGTTGACCCGCAGAATAGACACCTACCAGAGACAGTAGCAGACATGCCTGTACAGAAAGAGAGTACAGTACAGTAATTATATCCAAAATAAGGCAACTGGAAATGGATGTTTCGTTTATCATAGAAATGAAGAGATGGTCTAATAAAATGAAAACTCTTGTGATAGATACATGCCAATGATTCACCAACTTGCCATGGACAAAGGATAATGTAAAGTTAACACCATTTTGCCAAACTAGTAATTTAAAATTATTCAAAATACACTAGAATAAAATGCACTATCAAAATACACAGATATTTATACTAGTTAAATGAAAACATCAGGCCCTTTGATGCTTAGTTAAAAGCTTCTGCCATCTGTCTCTGAATTACATATTTTTTTTATCAATATCTCACTTCTCATTCTTTCAATATGTAGACACCAACTTTGTAAACACTGGTCAGCCATCTATCCAACTCTTTTTTTCATTCCCACATCCAGTACTGTACCTAATTTCTTCATTCCCTACATCCTGTATTGCTCAAAAGTTAATTACTTCCTCTGCTTCTCATTTTCACACAAATATTTAAACAAAACCATAAAACTAACCAAAGGTTTTGAGTCTGCCAAAACATGATACTGGAGAAGCTGATGCAGCTGATAGAACTGACGGGCCCGAACAAGAGCATTTATTACCAACTCATAGAGAAAATGTTGGACAGTCACACCAACAGCACCCAGAGACCGGGTGTACTCGATCACTACACCTACCACCATTTTAGGTGATACAACTGTTTGACGAGAACCTGTAAATATTTAGATGTATTTTAATTTCCATGTCAAAGATAACAAAAATGGGTTTATTTTACACAACCACAGCCTACATGAAGTCTATCAAAAGATTAAATTTTCCTTAAAGATGAATGTTAGTTAGTTCCTCATATCCTATTTTAAGGCCACAATTGGAACTAGGTTGCCTGAGTATGTGCATTCATGAAGCTGTCAGTCTAGGACCTAGGAGATCTTGATATTAATCACCATAACACTCTTAATAATTAGTAAATTTCTCCAAGAGCAAAAATAGCCCCCAAAATGGGTAATTAGAGACTCATGATTTTCCTTCCAGTCAGTAGAGGGAAGAGGTTGATGTGACAAAAATAACTGCACATGTTTCCTGTTCTCAGGGTCAGTCATACAAGTCACCTGGGTTTCAACCCTATTCAATTTCTATGTTACTTATCATTCCCAGCATACTTCCACATTAACCCATGAGAGGAGGGAGAGTTCTCAGCCACCTGGTTCCAGATGTGTCCATAAAATGGGACATCAGGGTTATTTCTTCATCTACAGCCAGCTGCACTTACAAGTGTCTGATATGCTTCTAGGTCAACAGATAATAATGTACAGGACTGTACTTGATAAACAAAAACACACCTTCATGGTTTGTGCTGTCCTTTTGTTGAGCTTGTCTAGCTTCCTCCTTCTCTGCCTCTTCCATGAGTGGAGCCAGAACACTACTATACATGTCGGCTTGCTCAATGACTACACCTCTTCTCTCAGGAGCATTGTTTGAAGCTACTGGGGCACTCACACTTTCTCCCATCTGAGAAAATCAGGAAATTATGAGGCCATGTTTAGTACATCATGTTCCATTTAACCCCTTGTGCACAGAATTTGCCAGTACAGTATCAGTGACCCCTTTTTAATATATTAATATGTTTCATTTCACTTATTATGTTATATAATATCAAACACTTTGCAAATAGCATAATTAGTTGTACTAAAGGTTTTGCAAATAAAAAAAATCTACAGATCACAAAAAGTACATATGTATAGATATTAGATAATATAATTCTATAGAGGGGATAATAAACACTCACCATGATCTGGCATGTCTTCTAGCACAAGTGAAGGAAGAAAGTTATATTAGATAGAGTATATCTGATAATCTGTCTCTGTTAGGCTTTACCTTCATATTAGTCATACCTTGAAGTTTATCAATAATGTGGAGGCTACTGTCTTTGTATGTGACTTGTCTTGTGGAAATCACACTCGATTCACTTAAACTTTGGTCATGTAAAGAGCATTAATATCACTGGCATGTTTAATTTTGAAACTCACATTCCTCTTCTATATTGCACCATGAATTCACAATAAAAAATAATAAAGCTATTAATGTTTGTACTTATCTAAAAAAAACAAAGTCATTACGGTTGGCTAATATTGTTCTAAGGGGAAGGTATACAGTATTACCTTCATGAAAATAGTGACCCCATCTTTATGGATCAAAATTTAACAGTTATTTTTACACTATTATATAACAGGCCACTTTGTATTTTCCTTTTGATGGCAACAATATATCTCTTAGAATTGAGATCATTAAACATGTTTTTAATGATGTTGTATAATTCAAGGACTTCAGACACTCATTTTATCTTTCTTTTGAGTACTGTAGAGTAGAGTACAGTACTACCAATTCAGGCAGTGTTATAACAAAATATCCAACATTTACAAATGTGGTAACTTTTCATCTGCAGGTCATCAGTAAACCGAGAAGTTATTAAATTATATGTCGACTGTATTCCACTACCAACTATATGGGTTGGAAAAGAGAATGTAATTATGATGAACTGATGGAACTGTATTCCATGTTCAAAGTTGATACTCACACATCAATTACAAAATGCAGGAGTATGTTTTCCTGAGCAAGAACCACTGTCAGCAATGTTTGTTGATGAATAAATATTACTGTAACATCATCACTATCACTGATTTACAGCCCCTTTTTCATTCTTGTATGGGTAAGCAGTGATTATTTAACGTGGTGTCCAAGTTACCATCAGGCAAATGTGAAGCAAGTTCTATGGTTGGATGTCATTCATGTCACCAATCCACTTTTGCATAGCACATTAAATAAAAATTATTAATAACAGATTATTCAATAAGAGGAAAAAATTAAACAGGGTTAAAGAGGAACTTGAAACCTCACCTGAGACTGTAACACAGTATTAAGGTGTTGTCTATAAGCCACATTAATTTTATCAAATATCTGGCCCAAAGACGCCAGTTGACCTGATTCCACAACTTGTCGCACAACAGACAGCACAAGAGGCTTTGCTGTAAAATAAAGAAAAACACAAAAAAACTTTAAAAATTTAATATATTGTTAAGTACAAGTCCTACATTTTCAGTGAAGAATGAATAAATGTGTACCATAACTACAAATCACAGGAAGTATGCAGTATATATTACAATATTTTTTTTGTCTCATTATTAGTTCCTAGCAAGGAACTCTTCAAACTAAAGTCTTCATAACATGTTTATCCTCAAACAGTAGAGTAGGGTAGAGTAGAGTAAAGTAGAGTACAGTACTCATCTTTATGATATAGATCTTTCAGTACCCTGTATCATAATCCTAAACATCAGCCTCGGTATTAAAAGGTTAGCTCAAATAATTAATTTTAATGATTTTGCATGCTCATTTTATGTTATGTCAGTGCTCTTGTTTTTATGTTTAAGGAACATATTCATGACACAATAAATGTTCATAAAAAGGCTGTAAATGTAAATTTACATTGGCTAGGCTGTGCAGATTATGTGGAACATTAACTTGCCCCTGGCAAATGACTTGAAATTTACTTGCCCGAATATCAGATTACTTGTGTCCATCTAAATGATATCAGTGGCGGTAATCCTTGTCATATAATGTAACTCATGTTGCCTTACCTCACACCTGCAGGGTGTGTAGAGGTGGAGGCAGCACCTGTGAACACCTACCCTAACTACCCCCCACCTATAATCTGGTGTCAATGGCAGTAACACTTATCATGTGATGCCATAACTCCTGTCACCTCACATCTATAACCTCTCAGTTTGGTGTTTCCTTGAAATGTTGAAAATTGACTGATTGACTAGAGGCAAGTTGGTGGGTTATTGTAGAGGTAAATTACCTGCATCTAACATAGGAACACTGGTACACTGATGACCTCCCTGGTTAAACATATACAGTAAGGTGGGGTCACGCAGCACCTGACAAATTACCATTTAGGTATTTACTTCAAAATCATAGCTTGTACGCCGGCCAGGTACTGAGCACAGGGACACGAAAAATCACTAGCCCAACCCCGTAGTCCAGGCATGCCGAGCTGCCAGGCAGTGTTAATCTGCACAGCCTGATATGCATTGGCACGAAGTGTAAACTCAGAATGGTTATAAATGGTCACATTCTTATGCACCTGGAAACACTCCCCAAATAATTTGTTAATTTACAAAATCTTAACCCCTTTCATAACCCCCAAAATAACTGTACTGTACTGTACAACATAACCATGTATGTTAATTTCTAACCATCTTCAGCTTAGCAAAAATTTCAAATTTAATTAAAATTTCAGTTACCATACCTTGCTTCCTTCTCAGAAGACAATCCACCAGCTGACTTTTATCTTCCACAGAACTTGTCAGGCAATCTAATCGCAGCCGCAGGTGCCACATGCACCCCAGTCGAGCATCAATGACAATATCTGGCTGTTGGTTTGAAAATACAGTATGCATATAATATCATCTAAATATGTTTTAAAACTATAAGTTTCAGTCTAAAATGAAATAATAAATCTACAGCTTTTGCATGAACGTACAAATTCTACCACTCCACCATACAGTGTCATTTAAAGGATAGCCAAAAAATTAAAAGAAATGTTTATACAAAAATTAAAAATACAAAGTACAGTGTACACAATTTTCAGTTGGTATAACTTCTACCACCATATATAGTAACACTGTACAGTATTACTCAAATTTCTATGTGTCATACAAACACCAGACAATGTGTTTAAACTTCATCACAAAGCATAATGTACCTAATAGTAATATACTGTAGTGCATACAGTATACTGTATCTCATACCTGGAAGACAACCCAGGTCGGTGCATATAGCTCACAAGGAAGAGAGATTGGCTGTGACGTAGTGGAGGGCACAGCGTCGGGTTCCACCAAAGAAAATGGCTGAATAGATCTGGGCACTGTAATCGGATATACTGAAGTTATTCCACCATTCACTTCTCCACCAAGTAGGATGTCAAAAAGAAGTGAAGTCTGTTTAGGAAAAAATAAGAGAAAATCATGATAAAATACAACAGCTACTCAATATCACATAAGCACATAGTCCCAAATATATGCAATAGCTATTTCATAATCTTAATAAATAAAGGCTTTATTATTCTATGAGCCACAAAGTTAGCCAAACCATCTGATGATCAACTATTACAGTACAGTATAATACCATTTTATCTATAAATTGCAAAATAATGTATTGTACACAGTATAATAATAAGGTCATTTAAGTAGGACCTTTAATTCCATAAATGGCAAAACAGACAATACTATTTCTTCACGTTCACCAGAATTTATACAACTAGAAAAAAGGGGGGATGGGAGGTGGGGATAATTTGGGGATATACCTGTTGTAGTAGTAATGACAACTCCTGTTTTTGGTAACTGGCACACAGGGTCGACAGTGAAAGCTAAGTGGCTCATGTTACTGTATTAAGAATGTTACCAACCAATAATTGTTACTTCAGTGAGCACTGTGCATATATGGTATGTTTATCATTCTAATTCCTCAAATTCTTTACCCCATTATGAAGATGTTCTGTAATAATAATAAAGAAAATAATAATACATTTTAATCACCTTGGAAGCCTGGTGGTGCACAATTATTAAACTGTCAATAATATTAACAGCAAAGCGTCCCGTTAGCTCAAGGCGACAGATGTGTGTCCTCTTGAAGTTCCCATCTCTGTAATAAGCCATTTTTTAACACTGTACTTCTTAAAGATCAAAGTTCAACAAGTATTAAATCTTCTACAATCTACATAAACAGGTTGAATACATAAACCAGCCATGATATACAGTAACAGAAAAAAGTCTCCTGTCAGTCCTCTGTCCCATCCATAAAACCTGAGACTCATGTGAATCCAAGACATCACAATTGTGGCATCTATGAGCCTAGGAATATGTGGTGTCACAGATTCACAGGTTCATGAGTCTCGGGGTTCATGGATGGGACGGAGGACTGACAGGACCTTTTACCATGACTGTATTTGACCGCCTCCAACATATCCAGCAACACAAGAATGCTGATTGACATAAACAGTGTAAACAGCCTATCAGACAAGGGCAAGGCATGACCATACATTGTGGGTCATCTTTAAAGCTCTTTAAAAGATTGAAAGAAGAGGGTTTAAGTCTTTAAAGTTAAATGTATAACTCTATCATACGTAAGACTCAGTTGGCTCATACATGTGGTGGTCAGACTAGAATAACCAGAGTTTGGAAGTAATGTACTGTGCTCTGGCTTTATATGATTTCACAATTTTGGATGATTTTTTCTATAACATTGTTTTTTCTATAACATTGATGTACTGTAGTTGATATTCTTGTGATATACAGCAACCTAGTAGTACATATTAAAGTGACTGTATACTGTCTATTTACTCTAAAAATTTACATTTATTAGCAGTAATTTACAGGTAAAGTGGCAAAGTGTCCGCATACACTAACATACTTATTCTGGGTATAAACATCAAGATGCGCAGCAACAGTGGGTGTAGATGGGTGGCGCAGGACACAGATGGTCACCAAGCCATATACAGTACCAACACACACATCCCGCTCACCCAACGTCACACCGGTAGAGTGAGTCCCACTGGCACTGCTCACTTCCACTGTGGATAATTAAAAACTTATATTTCAGATACTGTTTATTATTACAGTATCTCCAAAGTCAGAACTAGAGTGAATGCCATTAAAAAATTTTAAAATATTATACAAAAATATTTATATAACTTGTTAACTATGTACTGTATGCCCAAACTGGCTACAAAAAATATCAAAATCCATAAACTGAGATTTTTTAAAGTGCAAAATTCAATTAAATGACATGAAAATCTAAGAAGCTAATAACAAAATTAATATACAGAAGCTTGTAATATTTCGTTGCTCTACACAGGGCACTTTCTTGTAATCATAAATGATTACTATACTGTACAGTATATCAAGACATACAATAAACAGGAATGTGAAAATCAGTAGAAAAAAAGTATAACCATAACATTGTGAAGATCACAGACTTTTCTTCTATTGGTCTTTAGGTTCCTGTTCACTGGATGTCCTAAAATAAATAGTAATCATTTAGGGTTCTCAAGTAAAAAATTGACCCTCTATAAACATATATGAACAGATGGAAATCCTTAAGTGGAGGCATAAAACACAAACCTTCAAATTTGGTCAGTTTGTTGGATTGCCCAGGTTTGAAAATTAAGGGCTGGAGTGTGGTAGTGGTAGGAGAAGACCCAGTGCATAGGAGTAATAGTGAACACTCTGTGCTCCAAACAAACCAGGAGCACGGCAGACTGTAGCTTCTTATGTGACGAACACCAATGCGGTCCTTTGCAACCTGCTGTGTCTGAGAGAATGTTTTGAATTATGCATACATTACAATAAACTTTCAACAAGTTATTACTATTTCATGTATCATTTATTTGTTCACTAACAGTACTAAACACAATACAAATGGAAGAAAAACGATTTGATCTCTCTCCACAAAAAATTATTTCCTCGAGAAAATTGCCCCTTATTTCCAGCCTTTGGCTTCATCCTCATAGATGAACTATTATTTTTTTATTGCTGTCATTATTATTATTATTAAATTATTATTAGTCTTACTAACATTCTTTTCATATTATATTACATACAGCATTTATTATTATTATTACTGTATTATAATTAATATTATTGTAATGACAGTAACAATTTAATATAATTTTTGGATGAGTACCGGGTATAGAATTGTTTACATCACTAAAGGGTCATTGGGATTGCTACAGAATCACTTGGGTTTCTTTTAGATCATTTGGTCTACAACTTGGTCCCAAGCTACCCGCTAATAATTTGGGTGATTAATCTGGGCTCTAAACCACCATGACACAGTGTAGCTGAATGAATAACATGCATTCCCAGGATGATTCCAGTTTATAAATGAAGGAATTATTATGTGCATATGGATTCTGTCTGTAGAAAAAAATGTCATCATGTCAAGATAATCTGTTTCATACATAAACTTCAACATTAAATAATAACCAAATATGAGATTTCAAATGAAATTAAACGTCAACAATACTCGAGTCACTGCATCTAAAACGAAACATTCCCCAAGGTTACTAAACAGTACCTGGTAGAATTCTACTCCATGGTCTGTCACCAACACCAAGTCATCATTGTGTGTCCAGATAAACCCCAACATGTTGGCAGCTTTTGCTCGGCATTCCTGGACACTCCCAGGCCCAACTTCCCCATCAGTGTAAGTGAGTAATTCCTGTAATGAGGCAAAAATTATGGAAATATGCATCAAAATCAATAATCCACAAAGCACTGTAAACAGCTTGCATTCACTGTCTGACCACACTCAGACATACGCACAGTAAACAAATTGAAAACACGTATAGCAGACTTCCAATTACAGTATACATAAGGTTAATGTTCTGGACAACCCATGTCCAACTGAATCTGTGCTGAAGGATTATGCTTTGTTCCTGGCTGGCCAGTCAGCAGGAAATATGGAGGCATTGACCCTGATCTCTTTATGGCAGAACCCATAACCAGGAGGCTCCTTCACTTTCAATATCTTACTTGGGTAACACTAGATTACAATATTTTATTCAGCACAAAGGGAAGCCCATACACAAGGTCTTAAGATATGATGCTAGTTGGGAAGTTCAGTGTCCTTGGGCAACCTCCATTTATTCAGCTCATGGTGATAAGCTACTTTTTATGACATCAGTCAGATTTAAGTGTCTACTGTACTAGATAGTTTAAGTCTAACTAATTTTAATGTGTAACTAATACTATATAAGTGTGAGTACTGTATAGGTATTATAAGTGTAAACAGCCCCCATTCATTTTCCACCTCAAGGTTCATCTGCTATAATAAAAATAAGAGCTGTGTAAATGTACACTGTTAAATTTAATATTGTTTCTGGAAGGGATTTTTCAGCAAGATGATGGTTGAAAGCAGCAGGGGGGGGGGAAGAGGTTACACAAAATTCAGGATTCTAGTTAAATCAGACAGCCTCGAGGCCCATATAGTCCAACTCAGGGATATCTTACCTTGGAACCTCCCATTTTAGTTTGATATAATGCTGATAGTGAATTGTATCATGGGCCATGCACACAGGCTTTTTGTCATAGCTTTCGTGTGTCCTTCTCTTGCAAGCCTTCTTTTGTTACAATGCACGTTGGCCAGACAAGTGTCGTTTCCAGTGCAGCCAGAGGGTTAAACCATCCCTCTGGCAAGATACCAGTCCACCACAGAGTTGCTCCACCTTAAGCAATTACACCTAACAGTGTAATTGCTGAATTTACAAGGGTTAAAAGCTTAGGAAGCAGCATAATTATATCAAGTCAACCTGAAAAATAAATAATTAAAAGACATTTATGATAAAGGCAGACATACCACTGCATTTTTGCTCCGTTGTACAGCTAAGACTGAGTGGTCTGGTGAAAATTTGAGAGAGGATATGGTTCCACGATCTTCCATTCGAAAGGTGTGATCACGACCAACTCCTCGCACCACCACTCCTAGTGTTCCGCCACCTCGTACACTAAGTACCTGTAACACACTTGTTGTTTCTTTACATCTATTGTACACACGTGAATCAATTTACAATGGTATCAAAGGAAAAGCAATCTAAAAACTGGATTTCAATACTGTGCATCCCATTACAGGTAGTACAGTACTGTTCCAGGATATGTGCAACATGAAGAGGTAATTAAGAAGCTACAAGTGAACAATTACCTAATCAGACATTAGATACAGTAACTGCATTAAGCTAAAGACAAAGGTGCCAAGTTAGTCAAGATGTGTTCTAGGGTCACCATTGCAATAATCTGTTTTCTTTGGGATTTTCACCATAATGACTGCATTAATGAATAAATTGGTAATCCTGTAGTGAAGCAAGGAAAGTAATTTACTGTATTTACTCATAAAATGTCAAGTAGCTGTGTGGCTCTGTACTTTTAAAACTCTTGATATAATCACTCTCAAATTCAAGTTTAATTTAACTGGACCAGTGAGTGATTGTGAAATACAGCAAGACTGCAAACTTTCCAAAGTACAGTACATGTATATAGCAGTTATTGTTACATTACACAATTTATGTTCATAAAAATGAACCAAATTAATCTATTTAACCTAACATACAAAATAAAATAATGTTTAGGTGAAGCTCAAGTTTAGGTACGTTAGGCTAGGTAGTTTTGTTCATTTTCTGAACAAATTGGTATTATCGTTTCAGTCATCCCGTGAATTTTAGGATTTTAAGTTTAGCTTAGCTTAGGTTGGGTTAGGTTGAAATTATGCTTTACTGATGGTTTTTGATGAGTTTTAAAAGATTCTGACCTATACTTCCAAATAGGTGGATGACCGAAACGATCATTTTACCAAAAAAATATATAATGCAGCAGCGGTATCTGCTGTACACTTTAGACAATTCCCAGTCTCGATAAATGTCAACAACAACACTCGTGACTTTATGTCCATTACTTACAAAATTACCTACGGACGCTTTTATTTTGTGAAGAAAAGTGGTTCTCAAGTTACAAGCTACTATGCAATTTAGTAGCACATTATTACCAAGGTTGCAACACAAGAAAACACTTTTATCACGATGTCTCCTGGCACAGTTGTTGCGGGTCTGACTAATTACCCAAATGTACCCAAATGGAGCCAAATATAGCCGGAATGAAGTCAAATAATGGTCCTACATGAATAAATCGGACTGCCAATCACTTCTCGACTAGTATTTGGTGTCAGAAAGTTACAAAAAATTGGAAAACTTAATTTAATCTGAGGTAATAGATCAAGTGTATGTACCTAACCTAACCTAATCTAACATAACCTAACACAACACAACTCAGATTAAAGTAAGTTTTCCAATTTTTTGTAACTTTCTGACACCAAATACTAGTCGAGAAGTGATTGGCAGTCCGATTTATTCATCTAGGACCATCATTTGACTACATTTGGGTAGTTAGTCGGACCGGTTGTTGCCTGTATTACTAAGCGGTTCACAGAATTATAAACTCTAACGTGACTCTCTTACCTCTTTGCTGGTGTCGTCAAAGAATACATTGGTCACTTTGCTGACAGGTTCAAATCTTATAGGATTTTGAGACAACTCAAGATATCCATTTGGATCACCTAACTGATCCATTTCTCCTAAAGCTTGACAGCTCCAGATGAACCAGTGCCAGCAGCCATAGGTCAAGTTGTTTACACTTGTACGACGACTAACACGGACCACGACAGCCACTACTACAGGTTCACTAAACAGGAAATATATATATATATATGCTGATAACCACAAGGAAAGAAGAAAACACTAAGTTCCCACGTCGTATTTTCTTCTTTCCTTGTGGTTATCAGGCCATCTTTATCTGGCAACCAACCATAGAGGGAAGCCATCAGTTTAGTTTACCCTCTCTATTTCCTGCTGTTTCACGATGGTTAGGTTAGGTTACGTTCGGTTAGGTAAGAATAGGTCTGGTTGGTTCAGGTGGTCTACTATATACCTGGTCTTCACAGTCGTTTTCTTAACCTGATAATTAAGACGAGGATCAGGAAGAATGTATTGTGCCCTCAACCCGTGTGACCTGAGCAGCTGTCACTACCCCAGACGAGACCTTAAACACCACGAGAGGAAGGTCATATTATCAAGTCACACCTGAGTGATCTTTATAACACTAAATAAGAGCACAATTGTCTATGATCATTATTATACACTTATTATCATTATAAAACCAACATGAAGCATTATGAAAGTCGTGTTATAATGCTTTTACTTGGGGGAAATATTTGTGAGATTTTGTTTAATTTGTGAATAAAACCCAAAAGTCCAAGCGACCACGTGTCCCGCATCTGTCTCTCTCTCACCTGTCCCTCCCGTACCTGTTCCTCCCGTACCTGACCCTCCCTCACCTGCCCCTCCCTCACCTGCCCCTCCCTCACCTGACCCTCCCTCACCTGACCCTCCCTCACCTGCCCTTCCCTCGCCTATTGATGAAACGTAATACAACTGGCCAACCGACGGATACATTTGTCTAACACGACCACACGAGACCAACTGAGGGTGGGGGGGTGAGGGAGGGGGTGGGGGGTGAGGCAGGGGGGTGTTATGGAGGTTGTTCTTGTTCTTGTTGTTCTTATTCTTCTTCTTCTTCTTCATCTACTTCTTCTTCTTCTTCTCCATCTTCTTCCTTACCCCATCCACCCGCCTCCCTCCTCCCCTTCATATTTACATAAGACAAACATTATGTCATCACCAACTTAAAAAACAAAACACATATTGGAAAAAAATATATATATTAGATCTCTATATAAAGACAAAGTTCATTAACTACCTCGACCATAGGGGAGAGGTAACAGATACTCCTTTACTGATAAAAAACTAATCAAAGGAATTATATTATCTTGTGGGGGCCATTATAAGTTGGTGGGAAAATTAACCTAATGTTGAAAGGAGTTTGTAATGGAAGTATTTTGGCTATGATGTACAGTGAGTAGATAGATAGATAGGAAAGTGGATGGATATAATACAAAAAAAAAGATTAACACAAAGAAAAACATCAAAAAGAAACGAAAGAATGAAGACTTAGTGAATTGATAAAAGGGTTTAGGAGAGAGAGGGAGAGAGGGAGAGAGAGGGAGAGAGGGAGAGAGAGAGAGATAAGATCGTACAACACATCGGACAGGGTCAACTGGACAAGCGGGTCCCCCTCCCCACCTCAACAACCACCACAACTACCAAACACACACACATACACACCACAACTACTACCACGACTACTACCATCACCACTACTACCATCACCACTACTACCACCATGATCACATACCATAGACGCATCGGATATATAATCAATAAATCGTTACACGTCTTTTACTTATTCACGTTGCATAAGATTCATCTGGTGATACGATCAAGTCCTTCAGAGACTAAATTGGTGGAGTGAGGAGGAGAGTTCTGCGGTGCTGAGCTGATGTAACTGACACTGTTGGAGGAGGGAGAGGAGGTTGAGGTAGGAGGAGGGAGAGGAGGTAGAGGTAGGAGGAGGAGACCTACGCTGACCTCCTTTGAAGGTAAACATTTCCCTACCCCTCTCTCTCCTCATTACCCATTCCTCTCTCTTCACCCCCTTCACTTCCTTAATTTAGGCCATTCGACATTTCAGTGGGTAAATACGGTTCACTCCATTGTTTATACTCCAACCCTTATGTGGCGTCGAGTAAACACACAACTATCTCCGAGTCACAGTCACATTTTGGTTACACACGACACTCTGTTTACCTTAACTGGGGAATAGTTTGTTTAGGTACGCACAGTCCCCTTCAATAGTGCGTTTACAGAGGCTGGTCATATAAACATTCCGCAAACCCATAGTATTAAGATATTTGTTTTAATGTTGTTTATCTTTGATTCCATAGTATGTTTACTGTTGCGAGTTTCCTTCTGTCAAATGTAAACAAACACAAGGCTGACACACTGCACAAAATCTGATGAACCCCTGTAAACGCAGAAGTGAAGGGGACTGTGTGAGACGTTACTTCACTCTAGTCAGATGTAATTCAGTATTGGAGCGTCCAGATAAGTTGTTCAGGCTTAGGAAAGAGAATTAAGCTTCTGTTTCGTGACCACACGAACACGTTAATCGATACCTAACCAAATAAATCTTAATCGTTGACCACATCTGACTCAATGCGGGATAAAGGTTATATAGACCTAATTCGCAAAGGTGGTAATGAATCTTAATACCTATGTACACCTGAGCACACCTTAACACAGCCTGAGAAAATAATTATGGGACCAGTGACCATCAGATGTAATCTGGATGACGCAGGGCGGACCAGCCTCTGTAAACTGACCCCTCCAGCTGACTAAAATCCCTCATTACTCATTTCTTACGTGTGAGAAATCATAGGCAAATATATCGCTATAAAATAAGAAAATTGAGAGAGTTTCCTAGGTGGGGTAAGGGTGTGGGGGTGAGGAGGTAAGGGGGCAGGGGAAGAGGGAGGGGAGGGGAGGGGGGGACATGAAGGATGAAGACATGACTTCTGTGGGGGTAACCTCTTGCAAGTCACGGTGCATCAATTACAGGGACATATTACCTCTGTGTGTGTGTGTGTGTGTGTCAGAAGGATATAGTGGTGTTGTCAAGAAGCCCACACACACACACACACACACACACACACACACACACCATCCCCGACACCGGCTCCTACTACCACCTGAGATCCCTTGTCCGAGAATTGCTGTTCGACACCACAACCGCATCCAGCCCATACGTGCACGAACTGATCGCTATAAGAACAGCCCAGTCCCAACCATTGTAAAAATTATCAATAACTTGTAATAAATCAGTGTATTCACTCCCAGTAAACACTGCTCCTTACACTGTCACTATGTTGAAATGAACTGTAGTTTGAGCTTTTCCCCATCTAGTTATTATATGTCTTATTTGTGTCACTTATGTTACTTGTATATTATTTGTAATTCGTAACCCATTCCCCAAATATGTAACTGTATATTTTCAGCCTTCTGGCTGCCAAGCTCTTTCAATAAACAGTTAATTATTATTATTATTATTATTATACACACACACACACACACACACACACACACACACACACACACACACACACACAGAGGACACACACAGCCTTCTGGCTGCCAAGCTCTTTCAATAAACCGTTAATTATTATTATTATTATTATTATTTAAATTAACTGACACACTTATCTTTTGAGAATTTTGGCGTGAACACCTCCAACCTGTAAATAAATGCTACTCACCTAAAGGGTAAAGAGATATAGTCGACTGTCAGCGAGAGAAAAATCCACTGACAGTACCAGACGACAGAGAGACATTATCTACCTCACTGCTCCCCAAGTTGAAGGATCGCAATGTGTCCTGTCAGTTCAGTTAGGACGCCTCACTCGTCCTGGGCCTTCTGTCTTCCTCAGGGGCACATAAAAGGACCTAAATTAACAACAACAACTATAACAACATCAACAAAAACATCGTCATCAACAACAACATCAACATCATCATCAACAACAAAAACAACAACTGGTACTTTACAACATGGTCTTATTGAGTTATATAACATAACTCTAATAACCATGACTGTCCATTAAGTATAGCGTGGATACTAAACCTTCCATACACAAGGTGACAGCGGCGTGACCGACACTACACTCCACTACTTTAGCAGCCATTTACACCTGGTAACGCCGGGGATCGAACCAGAGATCGTTGGAACAGGAGGCGAGTGATGTAACCCCTCCCCAAAATATTACTCCCCTTTATCTCAACAAATACAGGCACGCACCGACTTACGTGAGATCTATGTTCCAGGAATCACACATAACTCGAAATTTCACGTAAGTCGGATTTTACTCAGCAACCTTACGTGGGAAGCCTACATACCTACTGAACGTCTATAGCGTATGGTTATACAACCTTTAAGACGCCTATGGCATACGGTACTGCAACCTGTAAGACGTCTATAGCATACGGTAATGCAACCTTTAAGACATCTATAGCATATGGTATTACAACCTTTAAGACGCCTATGGCATACGGTACTGCAACCTTTAAGACGTCTATAGCATATGGTAATGCAACCTTTAAGACGCCTATGGCATATGGTACTGCAACCTGTAAGACGTCTATAGCATACGGTAATGCAACCTTTAAGACGTCTATAGCATACGGTAATGCAACCTTTAAGACGTCTATAGCATATGGTAATGCAACCTTTAAGACGCCTATGGCATACGGTACTGCAACCTTTAAGACGTCTATAGCATATGGTAATGCAACCTTTAAGACGCCTATGGCATACGGTAATGCAACCTTTAAGGCGTAACTAACAACAGAACAAGGCCCAGTATTATTATGTATGTTTGAATATAAAATTAACTACTGTAATAATAAAAGCAAGATGTGTAATTGAACCTTTACAATAACAACACAACACCTTAATTACTAGTGTTGGTTTGTAATTTGGTTGTTATGGTGACGTTAATGCAACCCGGAAGTAGAGATACATATGTAGCGTACTGTATGTGGCCAGTTGTCAATTCTCTTAGTATGGGCACACAAACGTACGTACATGTAGAAAGGTAGAAGCTCATGGCATCAAAGGTGACATCCTTAAATGGATTAGGGCGTGGTTACAGGACAGGAAACAGGGAGTGAGCATTAACGGCACTAAGTCCCATTGGAGCAAC